TCATATTGATTACAGTTTTCCAGTGTTCCCATTTTCCTAGTGTTTTTCAATTGCAATTTTTCTTTTCAAAAACTGAAATTTTATAACGCTTTAGAGCTTGAAAACATCAAACTGGTTGATTTACATTAAAAAGACAGGCATATCAACTGATGTGTTGCTCACATGTTGTGAGCACGCGTTACTCAACACTGACATTATTTGAGTATGTTTCGGGTGGAAGAACAAGGTAAGTGCGCTTATCAAAAAGCAGACAACAAAAAACCGTAGAAAATTACTCGATTGGCATGAAATACTAAAATGCGGAGTGTAGGAATTAACTCTGGAAAAATGGAAATTTTGAAACAACAGTTTCATTAAGAAAAAATTACATTAAGGAAAAATGCAGATTCTTTTTTTGGATCAATAATTAAAAAAAAAAATCCTGAAACGGCTCTAAGATGTGTACACTACCCTACAGTAATGGAAAAGATATTTTCATTCAGGTGACCGAGTGGTAAGCCGGGTTGCATAACATGCCACCCGGATATCCGACTGCAAAGCCAATGACTGCGGGTTCGAATCCCGCTCAGGGAATGAGAGTTTCTCTGTGTGTTGTTCTCTTTGTGTGATGAATGTTTCAGAATACGTATTTAATAGTAAGATCTATAATCTATTCTTAGTGGAACTACATGGAGTATTTTAAAATCAAATTAAATTTTTCATTTAATTTTTTATTTATTTATTTGCAATTTAGTATCAAACTTATGATAGCAAAATTATATTTCAATATTTACTTGCTAACTCCAGTGATATTTTCTTTTATCATTTAAAAGAGGTTTGCAGTCGTAATAATACAATAGACAACACATGAAAGTTAATTATTTGTCCTCCTAAGAGGTAAATCAGTAATGAATATCGCTAAGTTAGTTCATTGTGTCCTATTCCACAGTGCAATATGTGAGTTAAAAGAAGGAAATTTGTGGAAAAATTTATAAATTCACATTTGAGTGTTGTTAAAGTTTCTGTAAAACTTAATTAAAAATATTCTGCTCAAATTTTACCCAACAAGGAAAAAAAATAATACAAAAAAACTAGTTACATTTATTTACAGACTTTTAAAATCTATTGTAGTTGTGAAAGGATATTGTGTTAATTAAACAAAAAATATTTACTTATAGGTGGAGATTTTCTTTGAAAGTGTCCGATGACTTTTGTGAGATAAAGTTTTTCTTGCTTTTTGATTATTGATTTAGTAAAAATAAACTTTAGCTTTGTTTTTAATTGCTAAGAATAGAATATATTTTTTTATATAATTAATATCCATTCTAAAATATTGATTAAAATTAATGGATAATCTTATTTCATTGAAAGTCATAAATGAACAAAAACTTTTTTGAGTCACTGTATTTATATGTCAATATGAAGCCATTTTAAACTGTATTTTATCCAAGCAGTGCTCTTCATTGATCATGTTTTCTTTAAACCAGTATCACAAGTCAAAAGTTTAAATAATGTTGTTTTGAATAAGCATTATTATTTTAGGAGATTCAGTACATAAAAATGAATGTCGCAAATGCAAAATTGTCTAATTTCTTGTTGCATAGTCTAAAGAAAAAAGTAGATAAAATTCTTCAAAATTTATTTATCTATTTTTATGTTTCTTATTTGAAATTAAAATATTTAACGAATTCTAATCCAAATACATGGTGTTTTAGTATACCATAGTTGACTGCTTTTGTTTTTATAACTAGAAACTTATACCTGTATAGTGCAGAACAGAAAAAAAGAAGTTTCGTTTTCCTTCTTCCTTATAAACACATATGAATAAAACATTTTTATATATTATGTTTATACCTCATTTAACATTTTTCTTTTACTTTCCTTAGTCTTTTTCAGCTTTATAGGGTAAAGGGAGAAACAGTTTTGGAAATATCATTTGTGGAATGCAAGCAACATTTACAAACTTTCGATATTGTGATTCCAATTGGAATTTCGAATCAAAAATCAAATATTTACCAACAATAAAGTAAAATTAAATGTTAACATATAGTTGGTTCTTAAAAAAATCTTTTTTTTAATTTAAAATAGGTGTCACAAAAGGTTAAAATGAAATTGAGAAAATTAGCATTAATGCAACAATTTTGACGATTTCTCAACAAATATTGCTTGCTGTTAGCGATTGTAAGAAAATGTGTGATTGGTTGGCTTTGCTGAGAAAAAATAATTCACAGATTTCATTGGAAGGGAATACAAAAGCTGTCAGAAAAATAGATAATCTATTGTTATTAAATTATAACCAACAAATTTTTGAATGAGTTTACAAGGTTAAAAATACTAAAACTTTTATAATCATTTTGTCAAAGTAGAAAAATTAACCACCAAAGCATCGGAACCAACTCGAACCCATGCCCATGGACTAGAAGAAAAAAAACTACTTTTAAAAGCAGAAGCAAATATCCTCCGTCTTCTCCAATCGTTTAGCAACCATGGGAGAGTTACATGTGGCATTCTAGTTTAAGAAGATATTAGAGAAAATTTTGATACAAGCAAAGCATCGTTAAATTGAAGATATATCAGCTGTTTGGCTGTACATTTCAGCCTAAAGAAATGCGTATAACGGATGGAAAAGGAAAAATAATTTAAGTTAAGAAAAATAGTAAAAAATTTAAATTAGTGAAATTTTTTTTAAAAAATCAAAGAAAAAAATATCCAGTTTTTCTTCAAAATTCCCTGATTTTTCCAGGTTTTTATCCAAATTTCCATTATATTCCCAGGTTTTTTTCAATCGTAAAAAATCCCCCTGATAATTCAAGGTTTTCCAGCTGGGTGGCCACCCTGTTCTCTGATAAGTACTGGAAATCGCATATCCTAAACACTTCTGCATTTATAAAAGGATTCTCTTAATATTTTGAGCCTTGTATTTTTTCTTAGAATTTTTTGGAAAAGATTAAAAAAATGTGTTAGAATAAAAGTGTCTTCCTTATTTTGTCCAACCCCTGTATGCCTGGGGAAAAGACTACAAACTAGCGGATTAAACTATTATTTTGTATTTTACAGCTAAAACGAAAAAAAGTTTCTCGCAATTTTTGACATTTCATTATTTTTCCAAATAAGTTTCTATATTTGCTTTAAAATATTTAAATATAAATATTATGTCAAATGCTTAATCTATTCCCTAAATTGAATTTTTAAGAGTATCATAAGACAAGAATAAGGAAGAAATTAGAACTTTAAAATTATTATTTGTCTTTGAAAGAAGATCAAATTTTGGTCCTTCTGGGCAAATTTTACCCCAAAAAATTTTTAATGTGTGTCAAAGTTAAATGACTCTATTTGAGTATTTTTCGGGTGGAAAAACAAGGTAAGTTCACTGAGAAGCAAAACACTCAACTTACAAACTTAATAAAATCATTCACTTGGCATCAAAAACTAAGACGGGGAAGTGCGAATTATTTGTGGAGAAAATGGAAAACTTGGAACTGCAGCTGCTTCCATATATTAAAAAAGAATGTAGATGTAATTTTACGGTTTCTAGTTCGTAATACTTAGCATGTCGGACCAACACATCCTAGAAGAAGAAAGGCCTCAGCACGGATCAATTTAGTAGTCCGAGGTAACGAACATAAACTGAGCAGTGAATGAAAAATAAGAAAAATGTCACTACGTTCCGGCTACTTAACTGCGCAGTGGTGGTTAACACGAAATATGTCATTACGTTCGGACTACTAAAAGATCCTATTTCTTGTCTATAGTAACTCGTGCTGAGGCCTTCTCTTTTATAAGAGGTATTGGTCAGACACACTGACCTATTAACTTGGTTTTTTGGAGTTCTTTTGCCAAGGGAAAATTAAAAAAAACCACACTTTAAGTACTTTACACTTGAAAAACAAAACTATAATTTTGAACATTATGCGCCATCTTGCTCTTAAAAAATACTTGGGTCCTATAGAACGGACAAATAACTAAAATATTTTAAAAATTATCAAACTTTTTTAAAAATCTCCTATTTGGCGACATTTTTCCACCTAGATGAAAATTATCAAAATACATCCCTTATTCCCATTTTTTGCAAATTTTTATCATCTCAGACAATGCAGTATTGGAGTAAGTTTTTAAATACTAAAAAATTGGATAGCAAACGCTTTACATTTTCTTAAAACGATTTCTCTTTTCTCGATTTTGACGTTTTGTGTTATTACCAGAATAAGCATAGAGGGCTCTTGCTAAAGATAGGCTAAGCATGACCCAAAAGTCATGATTAATTGAAAACAGTCACAACAGTTATGAAAATAGCTTATTATCCGGAGAGAGAAAAACATAATTTCATGCAAATACAGAACATTCGTAAAACAGCCTTTCGTGTTTTTGCTACTTTTTAAAATATATTTTATAAATCCATGTCAAAAATCTGACAAAAACATACATCAATTATAATTATTTAGTTCCGTGTTTATTTAAGTACAACTGCTTTTAAAACTTATTAAATATGTATTTAACATGTGTCAATATTGAAGAAAGACTTGTCCTACTCAGAGTTACTTGAACATATTTTTTTTAATAATCTTTTCTGATCTAAACTAATTTACTCTTCATTGGATATCTATTTGACAAATCGCCTCTCCATCTTTGAAATGTATTAGGATGCAGAGCTTAATCAAAAAATGCTATGATTTTATTTATTCTGTGATTTGTTTGTATTAACCATTTCAGTTAGAAATATATTAACTATTCTTGTTATGATATCGTTTTTAAATATTATTAAGAATCATTAATGCATATTATCATATGTTTTAGAAGATAAATCAAAAAATTTAAATCGAATAAATCACGATTTTTGTCAATGATATGATATTTTGATATCTATGATATTTTATTTATTTTTACAGTTTTGAATAAGTCAGTATGAAAATCTGGCAAATTTATTAACGCTTAAAAATATTTTATATGTATTATTTGTTTTATTCATATATTTATTTAATTTTACTATTAACTTACATTAATAATCACTATTGATTTTTAGAACAGGATTAGGGGGGAAATCTACCTGCCAATGACGAGGAAAAATAAAAGAGATATCAATATCACACTCTTTATAAATATAATATAAAAATAAGCAATTGATATTTGCTCATTTATCAACAGCTCTAATTTTTAGTTCGGTTATGAAAAGGGAAAATTCCCTAATCTAAAGCAGACATTCATTCTAAAGTTCTGAAATCATACTACAGATATCCTATCAACATAAACTGATAAGAACACTCCATCGAACTATTTTTTAACGACTTTACTTCTGTTGACTCAGGTGTATTTTTGAGTTTACATCTACAATGATGAGAGAAAGCTACCGACTGTGCGAAAACTTTATATGATTGAGCGAGTAAAAAGGTATGCTTGTTTATATTTAACAATAAAATTAATTTCGAATGTATTATATTAATTTTAGATATTATTGCTACAGAATATGGATTTTTTTTTATCGCCTTTAGAAAATAATTTTGCTGGCTAAACCACAGCTACCTTTTAAACTTCGAAGATTTATTATATTTCGATAATATGAATACGAGGAAAAAAATTCTGAAACTTTTTTAGTCTAAATATATTTAAAAAAAAAAAAGGTTACATGCTATTCACTTGTAAAAAATTATAGTACTAAGATTCTTCAGTGACGGGAATATTCCCATATTAGTACTCAGTTTCACCAATGTACCATTATCCTATTCTTTTAATCAGAATTAATTAAAAGTATATATATATTTCTTGGGTCAAAGCTTTAAAAATGGCAGAAAATGTTAATTTTTCTTAGAAATGTATAGCCTATATTCATAAAAGAGATGAAATATTGTTTAGAAAACAAATTTTCAATGAATTTCGCTTATTTTTAATGATGAATTTTCTTTAATCATTGCATATAAAGTGATAAATTTGTAACATTTTTTACACATTATACATATTCCCACACTCCGAATTGGAGTGAAGGGGTCTATTATAGCTCTCCTTCTTACTCTATTTGTGGCCAAATATTTTGCCTCTCGCCATGTCTTTCTGACTGTTTTCATTCACTTACAATCGCTCTGCGCCAAGTATTTTTAGGTCTTCCTCTTTTTCTATTCCCCTCAGGCTTCCAATCAAAAACTTGTTTTCCTTTGCATTTTTCAGGTTTACGTAAAACATGACCAATCCATTACCATTTACGTTTTATAATTTGCAGTTTATACATTATTGGATATTTTTATTGTGCATTTTTTCACATTTTGATCATAGAACAAAATTCACTAGAATCGCATAATATATTTATATGCCATAAACTAATCAAAAGACTATTCGAGTTAAATTTTATTCCAGTCATGTAATTTTCCATTGTAACTCAAAACTCAGTCCAACGAAGAAAAAACAATCGTTTTATAAAGTCATGCAACAAATATATAACAAACTATAACAAATATATAATAATATTTAAGAGATAAAATTGAACCAGATGTTGTCCAATACATTATGAGTGGTGGTCTTAGGAAATTAAATAGTGGCTCGTTCGGAGACGGCTACGTACAATAGCGTTTTCCAAAGNCGTGCATCAGTCACCATTTACTACACGGGGAGTCTTCGGCCGGCGAGGATCGAACCCACGACCTCTTGGATATGGGCCGGTTCCTAGTGCGACGTTCGGAGACGGCTACGTACAATAGCGTTTTCCAAAGGTTCATCTGTTCCGCGGAACCCTAGGGTTCCGTAAAAAGGGTCACGGGGGTACCGAGTGTTAGGACTTTTTTAAACCAGTTATGATTTTCGAAACCTGTAATTAAATTTATATCCAATTAATAATTCATTATGTATTCTGTCATTTTTATGGAATTATTTCGTTAAAATGCTTGTGAAGAAGGTAAATCCAAAACAATGTTTTTCTTCCTTTTTTTTTCTTTTTTATTCGATTATTAATATCAATATAATGAATGAATAATGAAAAGGATAGGCATTTGTAAACTAATTGCATTAAAATGTCTTATCGAAATAAAAGTAACCAAATTCAACAATGAAGAGGTATGTTTTCCTGTTAACCTTTCTCAGCGTTTATTTTCGTCCATTTTCGTTTTTATTTCAACGTAGAAATGGCTAGTATTTTCCGGAACAGGTATTTTGTACCTATTATTGAATCATATTTGTTAGAAAAATAGCATATTACTTCCAAAACCCTGTTACAAAGTACTAGGTAAAAATTCTGATTCAATTATTCTGTCCAAAGTCTACTTTTTATGTTGTTTTAAGTGCCTTTTAGTCATCTTTGGGCTATTTAAAAAAGAAAAAACAAAAAGGTCACCGATTTATCATGCGATATAGTCCTAGAGCAGTTGCCAGGCATTGCGAGGGGCCCTTCAAATTTTATGTTTCTGCAGAGCCTCTAGGAAAGTAAGTAACTCAGAAACCAGTTAGATTTTAGTTTAAATAATTCTGATAGATAAACTGCTTTTTAATTTTTTTTAATTCCTAAAAACGAACTAAGCAATTTTTTCCATTAAAATGATTTTATGGCTGTCTTAAATCTAACGATTTCAAGAGTTAACTTGCTAAATTTAAATGAATTAATCAAACAAATTTTTTAATCATGTTATTAACTGTAACTCTATGGGTTAAATTTCTATGTTTTGCATTTTGCTCCCAAAACTGTCTTTAAGAACCATGCTTAGGCAATCATGTATATCAGCTGTTTCCAAAATGTGTTCCGCGGAACCCTAGGTTTTTGTGAAGGATGACAAGGGTTCCGTGAGTTGGGATATTTTAAATCGGTAACGTGATATTTATATCCAATCAATAATCCATAATATATTTAATACTTCTTTTGTTTATATGAACTTGTTATGTAAAATGCGAAAGAAAAAAAAGTAGCAAAATTTTTATAAAAAAAATTTCAATAACAATATATTGAATAAATTATGAAAAGAATATGCATTTATAAAAGTTTCATACGTATTTCTTATCGAGCTTTCAAATCAAAATAAAATAACTAAATTCAAGAATAAAGAATTACGTTTTTATGTTAACTATTCTCATTATTTATAACAATTTTGTTAAAAACAAAAATAAAAATTTAAAAAACATAATTAAGGATATTTTTTTTCACTCTATGCATGCACCTAGAAAAAATTCATATTGTTAAATATTTCATTCTATGCATTCAAAGGTTTCAAAATAATTAGGAGATTTTTTTTTTCTTTTTGGTTAGTATATTCATAGCTGATAATGAACTTTTTTTTATAATGCGGCGTCCCAAAAAAGCTCGATCATTTGAAGTTCCATAGCCGAAACAAATTGGATAATGCTGATTTTTATGTTTGAAAACTAAATAAAAAAAAACTATTAGATAATTATTAGGCCAATAACAGCTTGTAAAACGCCGGGCACTGCACAAATGCTCCTCTCCACCTCTTGAATTCTTTGAACTAGACATTTTTTCGCGGAGGAGGTACTCAGTCATTATTTTAAAAGATAGTTTATTTTAAGGTAAGCAATATGTTACGCACTTTATGGTGCTATTTGTAATATAGTTTTTTTTTAATCAAAACACAATATAAAAGATACATCAACCTCAAGAAAACACCAACCTTAATGTATATTTTCAGATTCCTTCGCCAAAAATGAAGAAAAATTAGCGTATACATAAACGATCACAAGCGAGAAGGAAAAAAAACACATTCAAAACCTGTCGAATCCCCAGTGAAGAGGCCGATTTGCAAAACCAGTTTGATTTCCTGATGGAACTTAGAGGTGTTTCTTATAAACGCAATCAAACAAGTTTTAACACTATATGTAATAAGCGGTGTTAAAAGACTATTTTGAAATTATGTCTTCAAATTATTCGCTAAGTATACTCAGACAGTAATATCAGATGCGTAAATAAATTCAAGTACAAAATTGTACTTTTTGTACATAGAAGACTTTAACTATTGACCCTGTCGTCACGACATCAGTGACATCAGGTAACTAAGTAGCAGAATCCTCCTTTTATTTACTTTTTCGACTAAACTCATTGCGAGAGGTCATGTAATTTTTTACCATTTACTAAAAGGAGGATACTTGTTTGACGCAGTTTAGAACTTTTTCTCCCTTTTTTTTGGTTGTTTAAACTAAACTCTATTTTACCTATTCTGTAAATAATAATTTCCATTCCCAAATGTGAACATATTTTGACTTGATTTTTTACAGGAATTCTAAAAATATAGGTAACGGGATTCTAAAAATACGTATTGCGGTGATTGCGGAATATCCTGTGGAAAAATATGATAATGGTTTATGTTATTTAGAAACACATATTAAATTTTTAATGCTTTCATTTCATTTTTAACTAAATTGCTAATCTAATTTAAATATCCAAAGAGCAAGTTTTATTTGAAATCACAATTTATCAATATAGTTATTTAAATGATATTAAAAATGAATTAAACAATTAGTCCAATTTATCTTAATATATACTATGGGGCAGATATCTTGTCATTACCAGGAAATATGATGGATAGTAAAAATTTTGTTATAACAATATTGTTGTCCACTATTACTAGAGTAATCAGACAGAAATGAAAAATGAATTATGTTTGTTGTTTTCAAAGAAATATTTTACTTTCCTTTTTCAAAAAATTATTCGGTTCTCAGAAGTCAGGACAACAGACATCAGCGATTATTTACCGATAAAACTTTGATAACACAGGAGGAAAAAATATGAAGAAAATTTTACTTATCAGATAAAATTATCACTAATGTAAGCGAAATTTACAAACGCATTCTTTCTACTTTAGATAAATTTAAATTTAGAATTTATCACGTTTAAAATTAAATAGAAATATTCTGTTGAATATTATATTCATCGCATAAAGGGAATATACCTTAGAGATAAGCCAATTTTATAAATCAGTTATACAAAAAAAAATTATGTATATACATGTATATATATCGATATATATCTATATATGTATATATCACAATAAAGACATGATGGATAAAGAGAGAAAAACGAAAAAAATGAATAAGTTTTAATAAGTAATAAGTTTAACAATAATAAGTTTTATTTACTGCGCATAAGCTGCAAGTATATAAAACTCATAAAATAAGTTAAGAACATAAAGAACAAACATCTGTTTTTTACATGATATATCTTTTACTTAATATGTTCTTTTTGATCTCAAAAAGTTTTTTGAGTGCTCCTCACACTATTGTACGGCTATATTGATACAATAGTAGAAAGCACTTCTTTTTGCGGATAAAATCGTGTGAGCTGATGAAGAGATTACGGCTTTAAATTTTTTTGTCTTCCTTTTTAATATTATTTTTAAAAATTTTTTTTAAAGATTTTATTTTATTTCAAAAAAAAAAATTTCTTCTCTTTTCATTAATTTTTTATTTTTTCCTTGTTTTCTCTGTTTTTGACTTTAATATATATATATATATATATATATATATATATGNAATTATTAGTGAGAAAGAGAGGATGAAAAACATTGAATTCAGGTCCTCGGAGGTGCATGCATATATGTATATATATATACATATATATGTATATATATATACATATATGCATGCACCTCCGAGGACCTGAATTCAATGTTTTTCATCCTCTCTTTCTCACTAATAATTCGACAAATTCCGATAGCATTTATATTTTCTCTTAGGTTAAACATTAATTCACGTCCCCGACTTGTTTTTACCTCATTTGTGATGAGCAAACATTTAAGGAAAATCTATTTTACGGTTGGCGATTGCAGAACACCATGCAAATTATTTAAGTTCGTCACCATTTATGTATATATCAGTCACCATTATATATTAAGTTATAACCATTATATATATATCACCATTTATATATTAGGTTCCTCACCATTTATATATATTTTGCATTTCTAATTTCTTATTTATGTTTTAATTTCAGGAAAAGCAATCAAAGGCGTCGAAGATGGCTCTAAAATAGCTTTAGAATAATAAAAATCATTGCCACAAAAACTTAAGATTTAAACATTAGACATGGAACCCAAAGCCGTATTACGAGACAAATCTGTAAGAGACATTTGGGCTGCTATTGATAAAAGCACAATCAACATTTTGCAAAACACAAAATCTCAGACCTTGTATTCATCTCCGAAAGCATCCTCTCCTGATAAACAGAATGTTGTTCCTTCTGGGTCACAAGCAAAAAGCACTAGCTCCTATTTCAGCACTTTGGAAAAAGCGAATCCTGCAGAAGCATACGGTTTATTTCAGCCTGAAGTGTGTAAGGTTGAAGACGATAATGTTTCCTTGTATTCAATATGGACCCCAACAAACAATGATAACTTGAAAAATAAACACACAAGTTCTTATGAAAGTCCTTTAATTGACCTAGACACATCAGAAAATTTAAAACAAACAAAGGCTTTCCCTACTAATTCATCATATGGAACTAATGAAAATTCCTTAATAGACTCAGACGTGCCAGTAAATACAAATATTTATACTTCAACTAAAGATAGCAATTATGAAAGTTCTCTAATTGATCTTGGAATACCAGAAAATTCATATACAAAACACAATAAATGTATTTCACCTAAAGATTATACTTACCGAAGATTCAGACATGATTCAGGAAGTAACTCGAACAATGACAATGTTTCAGAAAAATCATTAGATGGACTGAATGAAGAGACATTTGGAAAGTTTTCGTATGCTCCAAATGAATCGGAGTTGACTTTAGCTGCGATATCAGATGCTACAGCGGCGTATGAACTTTCAGAAGACAAATCAATCCAGGAGACATCAAAAACAAAGGTTTTCGAATGTTCCGAAACTGCGAAAAAAATGCGGGAAGTTCAAGAAACGGCAACAGGAACCAAACCCAAAACATACATAACAAAAGTGTACAAACAAAATAATATACAACAGTCTTATCAGCGTGATGGTAAGAAAAGAAACGGCAATAACAAAAATACAAGAGAAATGAAAGATCAAAATGTTCCAAATAACAAAAATATAAAACCAAATTCAGATGAAATCCTTAGCGTGAGCCGGGAAAACTTAGCCATTTGCAAAGCTCGCCCTTTACAAGGTAAATTTAGAAGAAACTTTACAAACAATGAACAAAGACGAGTGACTCGCACTCGAGAAACTTTTCACAGTCAAGTTTTTCCAAACGTTCAAGCCGGAATTGCTACTCGTACTAGAGAAACTTTTCACAAGAAAGGTAACATGAGTTATTACACAACTGAGAAGATAACATATGTTCGAGGAGAAAAATTAGAAAATATGCACAAAGATATACATCAAGATCAGGAAAATAACATTGTTTGGCAAAATATCTCCAATCTTGGTCATATAAATGATAGAGAAGTTTTATGGGACAATGATATAAAGTTAAAAAAATATTTTCAAGGAGACAAGGTTCCCCAATATTATGATAAAGGTAAAAGGTTACCCAATTCCAATTGGAAGACCAGTGATGAGAAATATAAACTTGATGAAGATAATATCCCCATATTTAAAAATCAAAACATCTCAAAAAAGCAGGAATCGAAAGAATCCAACTGCTTGGACCAAAGAAAGACATCAAAAAACGAAGTTAGTCAAGGTAAAAAGCTTACTTTCAGAGGCAATCTTCACTGGCAATCTTCAACTGATAATTCAGATTTGGACGAACCAATTAACATTCCACAAGATAAATCTTCTGAATTTATAAATAAACAAAGCCAGAAAACCGGTGATGTTGGCCATGCTGACAAGAAAAATGTGGTTCATTTCAAAATATATGATCCAAAACTTCGCCGTCCTACCAAAAAGAAGATCATGATCAATCAATATCCTGAAGCCAAACTCAAAAGTAATACATTTGACAATCCACAAACAAGAAAAACTACAATGCACTATGTAGCATCTGGAGGCGCCCTGACTAAAGATTCAGAAGAACAATTCCCATCTAAGAATGCCGCTGATAAAAATCTAGAACAAACAAAACTCAAAAATAATTCTTTTAAATCATCGCAAAACGAGAAAACTGGAATTCCCTATGCGAAATTAATGAACAAGGATTTACAAGATCATTTTGAATTTCTAGAAAACATTAACCTAGATAAAGCAGACGGAGAAAATAAAACCTTTGTAAAAGACGTACTAAGTAATATCATATTAACCAATAGCAATAATACAAGGAAAATCCCTGGACTGCCGGAAAATTCTATAACTATGGCAAAAAGTGATTTAAAATCTTTAATAAACGACGGCAAAGAAATAGCTGATCTGATAGTAGGTTGCCAAAGAACACTTGATATGTTTAAATCTTTTTACTATGAATGGATAGACTTACGAAAACAGAGCATAAGCTTATTAGAACAAATAGTGATGATAATTAACAATTCTTCTAGAAAAAATGATACAATGAAACACGTGATTGCAGCAATTAATATTGCAGCTGGTGCAGCTAATTTTGTACCTCACCCAGGTGTGCAATTAGGTGCAAAAGTAGCTGGTGCTGTTGGAGGTTTTTTTGCAAATTTTTTCACCCGCACTGACTGTAAGAAAGATGTGAATGCTAAAGAATATGAAATTAAAGAAATCTTTCAGAAGGATATTGATTCTTCATCCTATGTTTACATATACGGAGTACAATGTGGCACCCAGTTTCAAGAAACGTGCAATGTTATCAGTAAATTTTACAAACATTTGCTTGAAATAAACTATCAATCAGTTATAAAAAACCACGAATTGCTAGAGTTTATGAATGAGATAATAGAGCACAAGAGTTCAGATACTCTTACTTTCTACAAAAGACTTCAAATGTGCTACGAAAGATTAATTATAAATTCGAACTCAGTAGACAGCAGAGCTTTCGTAAGAATCTTTGAAGATGTGCCAGAAGCAGTTGAAATCATTGACTTACTTCCTTGGAAATTCGATTCAGATGGATTCGATAACAGTATTGTTCAAGATGCTTGGGGTGAATTACTTCTCCTCTTTCAAGCTGATAATCCAGCAACTGTAGATATCATAAAGAACAAAATTCAGAACTGTTTATTATTTTTAAAGAAAGAACATAGAATACTGTCTAGAAATGTGACTGGTCTCTTCAGAGAAACAGTTAAATAACTCTAATATAAAATTATGATTTTAAGAGCTTGTAAATGCAGGGTGATGTATTTTATGTTATAAAGTTACTTGCAATGTATTTTAAGTAGCTTGCAAATTTTAAAATAATTGTTCAAGAGTTCTTCATTTATAAAGCAATGTACACTTTTCAATGTTAACTCCTTCTTATGACAAATTTTAGAAACTGTGTTTCTGTAAACGTCTGTGAAAGCTTGATGTTCATGACATGCTTATCTTTTAAAATTATTTTATTGTCTAATATAAAGTTTCAAAATTAACTCACCGATTTAGACAGACACATGGAATAATAAGAAACCTTAAAGTCTGTTGTTTGTGAATTTCCCAACAGAAAATAGTTTAATTATTATTTGCGAAAAAATTATTCGTGCATCTATCCAATATTAAGTGGAAAAGCTTAATCCTGTCTGATTTTTACGACCAAATTGCTGCAGAGTAAGAAGTAAGTTTGGGCTAAGAAACCTCAATTTCTATGAAAAAGAAAAAAAACACATTTTTCCACAAAAATTTCTGTTTACATATACAGACATGAATTATCACCAATTTATGCGAGATGCCATTAGTTGTCAAAGTTTGAAAGAATGTTTTAAATAATCCTGTTTAAAATTGTTTCGGAAAATTGATCTCTTAATAAATATCTTAGTATCTATAATATTTCCTTTCAAGCCAGTGATTTATTATTTATACTGTCAGTGAAGTGACTGCCTTAGCTTTCTACATTAACTATACTTTGTAGTGATTTTAAAATAAAGGTCTTTAATAATCTCTATAGGAAGGCCAAATAACAGAAAATAACACTCACAGCCAAAAGTTTAAATTGTTGTATAGACATATATTTATATTATAATTATAAGAAAGGTGAATATATGTAATACATTAAAATATTTGAAATGAAACTTATTTGAACATTATAAAACTCATAGGTTTTGTCAAATAAAAATCTAATATTTTCTGAAGATTTTCTTAATCAGTTGAATGTTTGTCTTTACAATTCAAATAAGAATCCAAAAATAGCTCTGAAGAATAACAAATTATTGATAATAGTGAATAGTGAAAAAAATTTTGAATTTACTGTGACAGTTTTCGATAATTTTGTTTCGACTTTACTGCATTTTTTTTTTTTAAATGAAGTGAAACTATCAAATTACAAATGAAAAGTTACAAAGTGGAAACTGTATGTACCTGTGACCAGTAATTAAAAAGCTGCATAAAGTTATTAAAAAATGCTTCGCCCTTTTAGAAGAATTTTTTAACAACTATCTGTGAGCATGCGATAAAGTTACCAATGAAAAGTCAATGGGAGCAAGTAAACTCTACATATTTTTTTTAGGTGACTGATATCTATTTATTTTTAAATAAATAGATAAATAAGTAAAATATAATTGAATTTACTCAGGCAGACAAAAAGTACCAATAATTCTTTTACTAACAATGCACTCACCATCCAAAAACTTTTACTTTAAACCTTTTACTTTAAAGTTTTTTCAACTATTATGAAATAAAATAATATAGAATAAATATTAGCTAAAAGTTATATTCTTAATGGAATATCTTTGGATGAACGAATTTTATAGTTGAGTGCAAAAAATTTTCAATTTGAATAACAGATTCTTGCGATAAAGCGAAATATGCAAATAATAAAATTAACATTAAAGGAACCCAAACTTTGGACCGCTCTTTTTCTCTATGGGGACCATAATGTTACCATCTGTAAACTCACCATGAAAAGTTTTTACATATTGATCAAATCTCATAATTATAAGAGTACAAAAATAGTATAAATATATAAGTTATATAAATATTATACTAGTTTTATTTTAAGTCTTAAAATTAATTTTAACTGAAATAAGTATAATACACTAACTAAATTATATCGTCCATGGGCTGCAATAGAGGCATAACTCAAAACACATGCATTTTGGACTAAGAACAGGTGTAAATATGAAAACACATTCTTTTCAGCAGCAATACTAGCACAACTCATAATTCAACCTGAAGGTAATCTTCGTATAAGCAAACTAAAGCATTTCCTATGCATTTTCTCTAGCAATGAAAACTTTAAACCCACTTATCTCAAAACTTGATTTTTTGAGTTGTGCTGCTATTGCAGCCCATGAGCGATACATATCCATCATTTGTTTGAATAACTTACTTTTAAAACCTATAAGCAAATTAGCTTTTAAACAACTTAACCATATTTGGAGCACGTTAGGCAAGGGGAAAAAATTAGGATTAATATTTGTTTTAAACTTAAATTGCAACAGAGTTTATGAACATTAAATGTGACAAAGAGAAAAAATAAATGTAAATGATAAAATAAATATAATGAATAATGACAAATCTTTATAAAAAAATTTGTTGTTTATTAAGTTTTCTGACATTTTTTTTTAATATCAGAAACTACAACTCTTTCACATTTTAGGAAGATCTCAACTAGTCTTTTTATATTCACATATTTGTACATATTTTTTTCTGAAAAAAAAAAACAACAAAGCAACAATTCAAACATTTCATAACTTTCTCTGCACACAAATATTAGAAGATGAATGGGAAAAAAATCCATTTTTATGTTAAGCAGGTCTCATACAACCACTGCATCAATTAATAAAATACTACTCACAATATAAGATGCTCTACATCTTCCGTACAAAATATATCACCAAAACTCTTTGTATGGTTGTACAAGTATAACACGACTATGGCACAGGCATAAAAAAATATGACATTTCAGCCTGATATAATCAACTATTCTCTTAAAGAAAAGTAAAACAACAAAACCAAATAATCTACACAACTTATTTCTAAAACTAAGTAGAAATAGTTGGAGCCAAATATTTTCTTGTCTAACTTAGTAAATCTTTAATACACTGTTGCATTGAAACGACAGGTAAAAGAGAAAATAATATAGAGAGGTAGACACCTGGCTTCTTAAAATAAATAAAAGGAATTGTCAAAAGTAAAGAAATACTGACTATCATTACTGATTAATTTATATTAATTGCTCATCAAAAAAATAAGAAAAAAAATATTTTTGCTTTGGCACAATTTTAAAAGAATTTATAAATTCCTGAATTAAATTTTGATACTTAAAATACTACACAAGATAAAATATACACGGTGAACAGAAAGTAATGTAAAGTATTTAGAGTCTCATAACACATGATATACTAAGTGGAATGTAAAAAATTATTAGGTGTACATACTCAGCAAAGTATGTAGATTCTCTGAAAAAATCATCAAAAGTCGCCAATAAAGAAAATTCGGCACTTACAGCCTAATGTGAAATTAGTTATATATACAGTACAGAACCCGTTATCCGGAAATCAGAAAACCGGAACGAAATTCGATAAATTTTCTCGCCATATTTAAAAAAAAAAATTTCTTCCTCATAAGATTTTACGATTTTTCTTACTTTTTTTAACGATGTTTACCTTACCATCATTTGGAAATAATCATTAGTGTATTACTTCAGCGTTTCTTCTTATTTTTAAGATTATTTCCAATATTTATTATTTTTTTTTTCGGTTTGGTTTAACAATAAAAAAAAACGGCTTTTTGTAGCGATTCAGAAAACCGGAAAAAATCAGTTATCCGGAATAGCGATGGTCCCGACCGTTCCGGATAATCGGTTCCCTACTGTATCTATATATATATAAATTTGAAATAACAGCTTACAACTAAAAATCAATTTTTATTGCTATTTAGAAATGTGGCTCAATATGAGCATCTTTCATATGTTCTAAATATTACATACCAGATGTGAAGTGCCAAACTTTCCCCCGTTGATGACTTTTCATAAAAAGAAACTGCAAATCCCCCTACCTTACATGTATATTTCTTTCTTTTCTTTTTTACAGTCCACCTATGACACCAGTTAACAGACTCTTAAGTGTTTTATTATTTTTGAACCATGTACATAATTAATCATCCATTTCATAGGAGCAAAAAAAAAAAAAAAGCATAATGTTCAGTGACAGGAACACATTACACAAGAGGCAACATAACATTCAAAATTAGCACTAAAAAGAATGTATGATTATATCAGGCAGTTGATAACAAATGAAACATGATACTTTAACAAATAATAAAACATAATGCTGTTTTAAGAACAAAAATTTAGAGAAGGAATTATCTTATACTGCAATTGCCATCTAGTATTTTGTGATATAATTCGCAATTGACAGTTTTATAACATTTATTCAATTAAAGCAACAAAACTGAACAAAGAAGTTTTCATTGGTAGAATATAATGGAGTAGAAGTGAAAGTCTTGAGTACTAGCATTAGTTTTAAAAAATCAAATTAAATAAAAAAATTTTACAAGGATTTGATTAAATTAAATTTAAGTCCTACATCTAAAAATTAATGAAATAAAATTGAGAAAAGTTTTCATTATTAGTATTGAAATCCATGACATGACAAGTAAAACATTGATAAAAGCCTCAATTATAAAGACACTTTATAACCGGGAAAAAACTAATATGTAGCACCAGGATAAATTGAAGATTTTCATAAATAATATATTTTATAATTCATTAGATAAAATAAATAACACATACCTTATCCATCAGTTACAAAAAAGAATATATTACAAATCAAATCATATATTTATATTTTAACCTCATACACGCACTTTTTAGTTAAAAGAGATACAAGGTTCTGTCTCAAATAAAAACAATTTTTATGCAAGATAAGAACAAAACAATACTAGAGAATATAAACAAATTTTACAAAATATTCTACTTGATTCAGATTTATAGTTGATAAATAAAAATAATCCAAATTCAAAAGTTATCCATCATGCATTACATAAAACTCAAGATAATTTTCAAAATTGAAAATTACGATCATAAATATGTAGGTATAAAAAAATATATCCTGCTGTATTCAGAGATAACTTATTCTAATAGGTAAATGCTTAATGTACCAAATGTTTCAATATTACTATAAATAAGAACAGAAACAAATTTTTTTTTAAAAAACTAAAACTGATTAATTTATTTAAAGTTACACATTTAGTAAAAAGCTATAAACATTTAGAAAATATAATTTAATTATTAGCGTGTACATTTTGAGTGTCTAATTAGTCAAAAAATTTAATAGGAATAAAGGAACATATTTAATTTAAGTACAACATATAATCTTTTAAGCGCAATTAGAAAGATACATATTAATAAAACAAACATGTGGGACAGACATGTGGGATTTAAACATGAAAATTAACTGAGAAATATCAATGATAGGCATTAATTGTTTAAAAAAAAGTTAGTTCTCCAAATTTACTTAATTTAGTAGTTTCAGTTAATCAAAACATTTTTGTAGGTCTATTGAAAAATACATGAAAATTTAAGTTAGCATATAAATGAAATAAGGAAGTTCAAAACTCATAATTCCTGAAAAACTAAACTTTATTTTAAAAGAAAAAATTGTGCTTCATAAAATTCTAAAAACTCCTAAATGCTCAAAACATTTATTTTTATTCTTGTTTGAACAAGCTATTAAAATTTAACACAAAAAAAGGCTTGAAATACAAAAAAAAAGTTTAACAATCACACGCAATACAAGGCAAAATCAGTCATTACCTACATACATAGGTAAGTATATCACATTATGCTGATATGACACTAAATTAGTGGCACTTATTATATATAACAAACAATCCTAGTTATTTTTTTTTATTTTTAATATTTTTTTCACAAAATTGTTCAATATCTCAATATCAAAAATTATTCTCTAAGGGATAATTTATGCAAGATGTCCATGGTTTCTTAGTACATTTCAATTAGTTAGTTCTATCACACACCACAAAACATTTCCTTGACTCACTGAGAGCATTTGAATTGAAGCACCTTAAATGACGCCTGTCAATTTTTTCAAGTACACCACCATACTTTCCCCCACACTTTTTTTTATCATGGATTTGTATTCTTTTGCCGATGCAGGAACTCAACGAATTTGGCGACAATGTGGGGCTAAGCAACACGAAATCTTCAGCAGGATATTTTAATGGCAATTTTTAAACGAATCTGCTCATTTATATCTGAATCTGAATGTCCGGGGTGTACTCCTTTGCATCACGGAAGCAAACCATGCAGCAACATCGACATTTGCTTTCTCATATCTTTTAATGAAATTATGTTCCTAAATAAAAGAATTGAAAAAGAAATTTAGCACTTGATAAAAGCATGGTTCTTAATAAGAGAATTTAAAGAGAGGAATTAAGTAGTTAATGAAATTATTATAAAAAATAAGAATTGAGAGAGAAAATTTTTAAACCTAAAAAAATTTCACTTAAACATGGCTATACAGGTAAGAAAAATAATTGACTGAAATAAATGTTCAACTTTCTTTTTCGTCTAAATTAACTGTTAAGAACTTGTATGAAATATGCATTGAAAGCACTATTTTTGAACAGAGTTGACAGCATGTTCATTTAGGAGGATCTACTTGAAACCAAACCACTAATTTCATTATACATGTTATCTTACAAACAACTATGTATTCCAGAGAGTTACAATAATAATTGTAATTAACCTCATTTAAGGGTTTGAATTTTGAAGACACTGTACTTTTGAACTATTTTTAAATTTTAAACAAATTGTTAAACATTAAAATTAAAAAAAAGTTTTTTTTTAAGAATTATGAAAAGCTAGTTAATATTAATAAATTAAACTTAATAAGCAGCATATCCAAACACAATTTGTTAAAGAAATTTGGTTTTTAGTCACAACTTGGATCCAATATTCAGATTAGTCTTCTAAAATAAAGCATTCTGACTATTACACTACTTTTCAATGATGTACAATTTTATAAATTTTTTTTTTTTAAGAAAAAGAAACCAAAGTTCTGTTTCTAACAAAACAAGATGAGCTTAATTTCATAAGGGAAAAAGAAGGTATTTTTAAACCTTTTTAAACCCTGATGGGTAACTTTAGACAGATAAAACAACAGTATCTGTTTAAGTACTAACACACAATCTGTAGAGTACAATTAAGAAAATTAATAAATTTTAAAACAAGCATGCGAAAACCAAACATAACTATCATACATACTATCATACACATGTAAATCTAAACTAAAAATAAAAGTATATGCCACAAGTTTACTTAATTTGTTTTCGGTAAATTGGCAATTAAAATTTATTAAAAAGTCTGTTTTTAACCTTTTTTTAAAAAAAACTATAAAATACAAAAACTTTTTAATGTTAAAAAAAATTATTTTACTTATTTATTATTAAAAATTATTTTACTATTTAATTACAAACTGCTAAAATGTAATGAAAAAAAATTTTTTTTTTTAAATTTTGTGTTAATTACACACAAAACTGGGCAAAATAAATCTTTGTCAAATTAAACCAAAAATTTCAATTAAGTTTTTTTAGAAGTTTTTAAGTTTTTTTTAGTTAAAGAGAGAAAAAACAGAACATACTTGTTCAAAAATCTTATACCATAGTTATTATGTTTATTTATGTATGAGGAAATTATTTTTACCCTTTTACATTTCTCATTTTCACAAATAAGATATTTTTTGAAACTATAGAATAACATGAAACCAGGAGATTGCAATACTGTAAACACGACTGCCATACCAAAAGCATATTCTTTCGAGATTGATGTCAAAAACTAAACACTTAATTCGGTTTTTAAAGGTTAATGTTCCATCACAATTTTCAAAAAAATAAATAAATAATAATGATAATAAATAAATAAATAAAACATTGTATATACAGAAATATGTGTCTTAAATAAATCTTTATAAAAGCAATAGTTGAAGAATTTTCATAAAATTTAAAACAGTATTAAAATGAAGTTACAAAATGCCTTGAATAAACAAAAACAAGTATCTTACCAATAATTCTCTATATTTTGGTCTTTTACGGTAATCTTTTGTTAAGCTAAAAGAGAAAATAGAAAAATTAGTGCCATTCTAGAAAATTTCTTCATAAATTTAAAATATAAATAAATTAAGAAATTGCTTTGATATACCTTGTTTTTTGTACAAGTTTCTACACTATTCCTTTTTTAAAGTATTATTTCATGTGTGATAAACATGAAATAATACAAGAATACTATACATACAAATTTATAGAGCAATAGCCTGCATAAATCCCTCTAAGACTAGAGTTTTTCAGTTGGAAAAATATGTTAAAAAATAAGTAATAAATAAATAAATGTTCACTTCTGGGTACTCACACAGGGTGGCCACTCAAATCAGATTTCAAATTTCCCTGATTTTTCCAGGTTTTCCAGATAAAAATCTTAAAATTTCCAGGTTTTTATTTCTTTTTTCGTATTAAGTGTAGGATGTGTACAAGAAAAGTGTCTATATTATAAAATATTTTATTCAAAATGTTATTTTTTTAACATATCATCTTGAAAAAAAAAATTTATTTTGACAATTTGGCAAGATTTATTATTTATTTTTTAATGCTTTGGTACAAAATTTTGAATCAAAAATCATATATTGACCAACAAAGGAGTAAAATTAAATATTAATATATAGTTGGTTTTTAAAAAATCTTTTTTTTTTAAATTAAAATATGTTATAAAAGGTTAAAATGAAATAAAAAAAATTAGCATTAATGCAACAATTGTAACGATTTGTCGACAAACAGTGCTGTTAGTGATTGTAAAAAAAAGTGAGATTGGTTGGTTTGCTGAGAAAAAATAATTCACAGATTTCTTTGAATGGGAGTAGAAAAGCTTTCAGAAAAAGTGTGCAATACAAAATCTATTATTATTAAATTATAACCAACTAATTTTTGGAGAATTTTATGAAGTTAAAAATATAAAAACATTTTGTCAAAATAGAAAAAAAAAATTACCACCAAAGCATCAGAACAAACTTGAGCCATAAATGGATTCAGCCCAAGGACAGAATTTAAAAACAGAAGCTAATATCCTAATCCATTTTTCCACCTCCACCAGAATCTTTCCTAAATTGCACAGTCCCATAGCGGTCAAAGGTTTCTACATTGGTTTACCAACCGTGGGAGAATTTTATGTGGCATTCCAGTTTAACACTGTAATGGAGCAAATTTTGATGCAAGCAAAGTTGATGATATTTCAACTGTTTGGTGATACATTTCCATTTAAAAAAAATGGGATAATGGACGAAATAATTTAAATTAAGAAAATTAACAAATAATTTAAATTAGTAAAATTAAAAAAATTATCAAAGAAAAAATTTCCAGCTTTTCTATAAAATTCCCTGATTTTTCCAGGTTTTTATCTAAATTTCCCTGATAATTCCAGGTTTTCAAGGTGGGTGGCCACCCTGTCACATAAAGTTGTAGACATTTTTTCACAAAATATATGTTTGAAAAGTTTTGTTTTTGTTACATGTGCAAAATATATAGAAATTTAAAAAAAAAAATAAATTTTTAATGCTTTACTTGAACTGTTCAAACTTAATATTTTTTCTTAAAACTTATTATAAAATATTGAAATTCGATATAGAAATATTTCAAGTTAACTATGCTCTATCTTTTTTAATGGCACATTTCTAAACAAAGAAATACATTTTCTGCGCCACAAATCAACACTCTACCTCGACATTTAGGGAAAAACCTTTAACACTGCAGAATGTTCCTTAGACAGTAATTCAGAGGGCAGCAGTCTCAGAAGGATGTAGAAAAAGTGAACTTGAATTAAATACAGTTGAACTTGCCTATAATGATCCCTAGTTTAAAAAGAACCCTGATTTTATTAAGAAATGAGCAAGTTCTTTTTTTTTTTTTTTTAAATGGCATATTTCTAAACAAAGAAATACATTTTCTGCGCCACAAATCAACACTCTACCTCAACATTTAGGGAAAAACATTTAACACTGCAGAATGTTCCTTAGACAGTAATTCAGAGGGCAGCAGTCTCAGAAGGATGTAGAAAAAGTGAACTTGAATTAAATACTGTTGAACTTGCCTATAACGATCCCTAGTTTAAAAAGAACCCTGATTTTATTAAGAAATCGGATATACTTGGTTTGTATAATGTTAAATATATTGCAGGCAGAGCTTGTTTTTAATGATCAAAGCCTGGTTTTCGCAAGCAATATTTTGAGACCCAGGAAGAAAAAGTAGACAACTTCGAAAAATAGAAATTGAGAATATAGTTATAAATCTGTTAATGCCAATATTATTATTTCCCAGATACTTACTTTCGAGGATATTGCTGAATTTCAAGGTAAGTATGTAAAAAAATATAATGATAGTAATGACGATTCCGAGGGATATGAAGAATTTCAAGATGAACTGTCCCAAAGTATGTACTTAAGAGGCATTAGAGTTCACTGAAAAACTTAGAAACAAAAAATAGAATAATGAAGTACTATATTTATAACTTAATAAGTATGTGTGAACCAATATGATTTTTCTCACAAACCCATTTTTATGAGCATTTGGTCATAATGGGCAAATGTCAGTCTCTTTATACTCGTTATGAGCAAGTTCGGTAAATGTAAAGCTTTTTCCAAACACTTAATCAGGCACAATAAAAATTAAAAAAATTCAAGCATAGTCTTATATTGGGAATAGATGGCATTAATTATTTTAACAATAATACTAACCAAACTTGAACAAAACTGCAAAAATCTAATGAAAATGCTAAATTAGAGGGCAATCTGGGAGGGTCCTCTTGAAGAACTTTACTCAGAACTTCAAAGTCTGTTTTGCAATCTTGGTAGGGAAATTTACCAGTAGCAAGCTCAACCTAGATAAAAAAAATTAAAATATAAACAAAAACATTCATTCATAATTTTAAAAATTTCAAATTTCTTTGAACAAAACAGTTTTGTACTGATACAATTTGTAGAATAGCCAACATGTATCGCAAAAATAATCAACTTAACAAATTACAACTCATCAATAATAACATTTCAAACTTATTTCTTCAGTTATTTTCATTTAACTTAGCTTCATAAATATTAAAGAGCGGCGATAGTTTTTTTTTTTCAATTTTAGGATAGTGTTAGAACATTATTCAGAAATTTTAGTATACTTTATTGAGTAATTCAAGAATATGTTACACTAAAAACAGGTTACATAATAGTTCATTACATAATGGCGAACTTACAAAACCAAATAGCATGTTAATTTGTATAACAAATTAAGCAAGTGTTTCTTCTAAATATAAAAATATTATTAGTATCATTTTAAATACATTTTAACACATATAAAACAAATTTACTATACAGCTTTGTAAAATAGTGAAGATTCTGGAATTTAATCCAATCATAGTTTTATAAGACAACTGTATCATTTCTTGTTAGTTCCTTTTTTTACTTCTAAAATTCACACCAAAAGAAATAACAAATTAAAAATTATCAGCAATTCAACTTATAATTTGTTTTGTGTCCTTGTGCACCTAATGTAAGTTTGCATAAGGGGAAAAATGCAAGAAAATTTCCACCAAGAAGCTATATAAAGAGGATTTCTCTTTTTAACATTAAACTAATGGAATAAAGAATCAGCATCTTTAAAACCAGGAAATTGAGGAAAGAAGTGACTCTACACAGGTGGCTCTAACTAAGTGTTATTTGTTAACTGTATTATTTGCTCCAATTTCAGTTTTATTGCAAAAAATACATCAAATAAAAAAAAACCAGTTTTTTAAAATTTTTTTCTCTTAAATCATACACTTAAAGAAAATCAAAATGAGCATTAAAAACATATATACAGTAGTCTTTGCTTAATGTAATCATTTTAGGACACAATGATTTTGATAACATTGATCAATTAATAATAATAAAAGAATCACAAATTAGATAAATTTATTAATTTAATCCTTACATAATAGGTTTGAAAGTAAAATATAAGAAGGGCTTATTTACATAATTCTTTTAAAATATAAAAATTACAATTTTTAAAAAGAAGTCCGTGTTTATTTTTCTCTTTTAATAAGATCATTGATTTTTCAAAACTTTGCAAAGAAGAGACGGTGAGATTTTAACAATGACTCAGTTTTGGTATAACGACAGTTTTAAATGTCATTCTTTGGTATTAATGTCAAACTATTAGTTTTCAACGATCATTATCATCATTCCTCATATAAACACATACATTTTTGGTTTAAATTAGATCCTGCTCTTCTGAGACATTAATAAAATTATTGTGTATAATTGACAACTGATCCCCACTTCTATGGACTTGCAATTTAAAAAAACACCTAGGATAAAAAAGGGAGACTCTCTGAAATTCAAACAATAATATGGGAAAAAAAGAAGATTCTTTTTGAATAATAATGAATATTTCTTTAGCAATTCAGATTATTTTTGAAAAAATTAATAAAAACACTGATAACATTAAAGAATCTAATAAGATATATCACAAAGATATCATTTTAACATAGAAATTAATACAGAACATCCGGATTGAGTGATTTTGCTAACAATAAGTGACTGAAAACACTGACAGAGATTACATTAAGTGGAGACTACTGTATATGTAAGATTATACATCAGAATTGAAAATCAAATCCTTGTAATAGTTTTCTAGTGTGTCTATAAGCAATCAAGAAATACACTTTGGAAGATAGACTTGGAACTTACAAGAGAGATACCTAAACTCCACACATCAGCTCGTATGTCATAATCTGGACGTTCAGGATCTGGAGGATCGATTCGTTCTGGCTATTTAAAGGAATTCAAAGTAAGAATAAATTAAACTTGCTCCAAAAAAACATTTCAACACACACACAAGAAAAAACTACATACAAATCGTGTATTTGTTAGATGTATGATTATGGTTAGATTATGAATTACTAAATTAAAAAAAGGGCACCCATATGCTAACATTATAATTGAAAGATTTAAAGATTATAAAAGAATATATAAGAATTAATACATTATTTGATAACATTAAGCTATTTAAAGGAATTCAAAGTAAAAATAAATTAAACACAACAAAAAAAATTAAACTTGCTCCAAAAAAACATTTCAACACACAAAAAAAAAAAAAAAAAAAAAAAAAAAAAAAAAAAAAAAAAAAAAAAACTATATACAAATCGTGTATTTGTTAGATGTATGATTATGGTTAGATTATGAATTACTAAATAAAAAAAAGGGCACCCATATGCCAACATTATAATTGAAAGATTTAAAGATTATAAAAGAAAAGAATATATAAGAATTAATACATTATTTGAAAACATTAAGTAAAAAATTTAAAATATTGCATAAAAAACTATACATAATAAATAATATATTACCTAATACATAGCCTTGGGTGTATTTGGATTAAGACAGCATATTTTTTAAAATAGAAAAAAATACTAAGAGCATATTTTTAAAAAAAAACTAAGTACATACATAAAAAAATCACTTTAAAAAAATTTGTTAACAGACGTATTTTCTTTAAAGGAATTCGGATAATCGATGTTCTGTTGCACTTATTGAAAATACAATTGCAAAAACTTACTGCCATATAAGCAGCACAACCAGCAGATCTTGTTTTTGCTTTAGAATCTACTAATCTTCCACTAATTCCAAAATCACACAACTTTACAGTTCCATTTTCATCTAAGAGTATATTAGAAGGCTTTACATCTCTATGTATCACACCATGTCTTTCTTTAAGATAATGAAGGGCTTTTACAATCTAAATAAAATATAAATTTCCAATTTAGTAAAATAAATAATAAATTTCAGTAAACAAATCAAAGTAAAAACCTATTTGTTTTTTACTGGAATATAATTGTTAAGCGAATAAATAATGACTTAGTAGTAATAATGAATTGATAGAGAATTAGAATACCAACAATCCACTGGGTGGAAAAAAATTTACACTTTATAATAAATCCACTTTAATAACATTTACATTTTTGAACTATTTTCATGCAATATTTAAATCATTTTTTGAAATCAGATTTTGGGCAATTTTCTTTAGATAAATGCATTATTATTAGCATTACATTGTAGCATTTTTGGAAATAAGTCATTTTTTAGACGAAATTTTTCAAATATTTTTGCATTTTATATAGTAATATTATTTATAAATAAATAGATGTTATTAATGAATAATATATAAATACATAATCAGTGCGAACATTTATGCATTTCTCTTCACTAATTTAGCCTCTTACAATTTCTTCAAGGAAAATTAAATTTTAATTTCTCACAATATAAAATTTTAATATGGTAGTATGTTAAATTTAAGTTTCAAAAGGAAATATTTAAGATAGAATTTCCATTTTAAGGGCGTTTTTTGTTAGTTTTAAAAATATTAATAATTCTTCAAGATTAGGGCTCTATTAAGAGCAGTCAGTTGAGACTAATTGGAATATCAAGTTTAAAGTAAATATTACAGCCAGTATAATAACTTAGGTATTCACAGTTTAATTGAACTGATAAGAATGAAAAAAAAATGCTTATTAACATATCCATAACATTATTAGTTGCATTCATAATAAAACTAATTTTATGCTCACATAAGACAAAAATAATAAGTTGAAACTTTTTGAGCATGACTACAGATACTATGCTACTGTTACATCAATGTTTATAAGACTTACAGCAACAGCCATTTTTCCTAAGATCTGTTCTGGAATAGGAGATTGTAGACGTTTTAATAATTTGTCCAAGCAAGTAGCCATAAGTTCCATGCAGATCCAAACATCAGATTCTGTAATGAAATATCCAAAACATTTCACAATGTGAGGACAGTCACATTGAAGAACAACATCCAAATCCATTGTGATTCTTTTGTTTTCTTCTTTGTTGCCAGACCGACGCATTTGCTAACATGAAAAGAACAATTATAACATGTGAATAAAAAATTCAAAGTTAAAATAATAATAGTAGTAAATAATAACAGTAAAATACAATAATAGGCATGAAATCTTTTTTATATCAACAACCTATCTACCGATTAACCATTTAACTCATTTAATTCAATAACTCTCATTTGCCAATTTCCTTTTTTTTTTCATTGCTTAATCTATGCATTCCTTCATTAACTTATCAATTCATTCATTCATTGTATCATTATTTGTATTTATACTGAGCACGTTCTATATCTTAACATTTATTGATAAAAAATATAATTTAATGTTTTCAACCTATGAAAATTTTCCAAAAGATGTTAAGAAAATTTGTCAAAAGAAGAATTGGCATAAATAATTTTTCAGGTTGATAAAATAATAAAAAGGGCAGTTTAAGGGCATCAATGTTCCAAATTTGAAAATAAACTAGGGAGGCTTCAATAATAACTCAACATAACACTAAAAATACCAACACTTGACAATACGATAAAACATTCTATAACTGGTCAAAAGACCCATTATCGTATGTTTAGTGATAAACTAGGGCTATAAATTATGAATAAATTCCATTTGATGTAAGATAAAATAGAATTAGTTATTAAAATTATATAAAGTAGTACTGTTAAAACAAGCTAAAGTACTTTAATTTTTAGAGGATTTACATATCAGACACTAACTTCAGTCTACAAATGAGAAAACATATTTCTATCAAATTTTGAATTATATAGAGCTACTTTTACTGCATTTTCAAACATTTTGTGAAATCATGATCACAATCAATGAATATATATTAATTTCTTTGACACAAATAAAAATTAATTTTTTAAACTATTAGTTTGAAACTAAAAAGGTTAAGCTGTTAATAAGGAATGTATCCTATTTGTTTCAGGAGGCAGAATTGCAATTGTAAAGGTGAGGGGGTTAAATATTTTTTATTTCATTATAATAAAATTAAAGGATTTTAATTCATCCAAGTCATCTACAGAGTAGTTGATTTGATTCCCACTCTAACATCTGCTATTTATTTTCTTCTTTAATCATATAGATTTTTTATCTTTCTTTCAGTAAATATTTTTTTATATATATTATTTAAATCTGTTGTTTTTTATGCATTATCTGAATTCAAAGCATCAAGAAATTAATTTTTTATCAGATAAAGTTGAGTTAATATAGCCCTCAAAGTGACCAATTAAGAAATATAACTAAGTCTGTAAACAAAATAAAAGGATTCGGGGCAGATTAATCTACATTTTCAGCAACTAATTATTTAAACTTTTTGCTAAATTTTATAAATCAAAGACAAATTTAACAATTAATTAAGAAAATAAGTATTGTATAAAAACAAATCGCTAAAAAAAAATAAGCAATAAAATTTTAAGATAAAAAGATAGTTTAACTACATACTTAATAAATGCAAAATGTTTCCTAATCTTTATTACATCATATAAAAGAAACATCATAATTAGCTTTAATTTACAACATTGTTAAGACACTTATTCAGATAGTCTAATTTATATGACTTAAAAAAAGTTATCTCCAACTTTTATTATTTTTATATCCAGTCTTGAGTCCAAGGGCCTGTTAGATTTTAAATTGTTAAAGGCCACTTTTAGAGACCACTTCAAAAAAAAAAAAAAAAGATCAGATTTGAATTGCTCATTCACATTGTGAAAAGTTTTAATAACTAAGTACTAATAGAGGGTAAGATAGATTATATTTAATTTTTTATTTTGTAATTAACAAAAAAAAAAAATCAAAGTAGCATATTCTACTTGGATAATAAAAAATCATACAAAATAGAATCTTACTTTCACAGCTATGACTTTATTTGAAGGTTTATGTCTCATTTTAACAACATGACCACAAGTACCAGTTCCTAATTCACCAAGTTGCTCTAAATCATTCATGGCAGCACTATATTTCTGGAACAAAACATTTTTTAATGCAAGTTCTGCCCACAATATCAAACACTATCGATTAATATTCATTCTTATGGGATTAATAATTTTTGTATTAACTATTATAATAGAAAAATATATAGACAGAGATAAACAATAAATGTCATACTTACGATGCCATTAATGGTAAGAATATTTGCTTGCTTCATGATTTCTTGAAGCTTCCAGTCAGTCTCACTAATATTGCTGTAGGGAGAAGAAAAAGCTTTTATTTATCGATTCTCATACATAATTTAAATTATTTGTGTGTGTGTATATATATACATACACACACATACAGTGAAGTCTTGGTTAAATGGACATTCCTGAGATAGAATAAACTGTCTGTCTACAAGAGTTGTCAGTTTACAGGAAGGATACACTAATAACGAAGTTTAAAGCTATAAACCGTTTTTAAAATAATAGCTCGGATATAGAAATAATCAATAATAACTATTTACATTGATCTTTTTTAAAATTTAAATTCTTTTTCAATACAAAAAGAAAAAATGAAAAGCATTAGGTCATATGAGAAGCTGTAATATTCACAATTGATCATTTGCCAAATGTCTGGATAAATGATTTATATACACATCAATAACTAGAATTTTTCTTTAAAACCCAAGCAATTCAGCTTATGAGAATGACCTGAGTTGTCCAGAAGAACAGATACTGCTACCTGAAATATTTCACATGTGCTGTATCATTTTCTCTTTCTTTGAAGAGATAAAGGCAGGTGACAGGAAAAAGAGTCATTCCTTAGTATTGAAATAGCTTAATATCTTTACTTATGGATAAAATAAAAAATTTTCATTCTCAAAAGATGTTGGAACGTTGCAAACATTTTATTTATTTATCTTCATTTCATTTTTGGAATATGAAGCAAATAATTTTTTTCTTTCAAATTTTGAATAATTGGTGTCCAGTTTGAAGAGATAGAAAATAAATTTCGGGGCATGAATGACTGTCTGTGTCCACTTTGTGGAGAGGGCACATAATGGTTTATTTATAGAAGATTCACAGGGAAATAAAAAATATGTTTGTAATGAGAGGTTATACACGCACATACATATATATAATGACACAACAAAGACAAAAAGGATAAATAAGAGAGATCAACAAAGAAAATTCAGAAAAATTATTGCTATTTACCGAACATAAGCTGTAAGTATACAAAAAAAGATTTTTTTTAAAGAAAAAAAAATTATTAAAAAAAAATTTAATAAAAAATTAAAATATCTAAGAAAAACAGAAATACAAAATAACGGAAAAAATATAATTTCGTCATCAGCTCACTCAATTATATCCGAAAAAAGTGCTTTCTATTATTGTATTAATATAACCAAAGCAAACAATACAATAATACAATAGGATAAAGAGCACAGAAAGCTGAAACGAAAATAGAAAAAGAATAAAGCAAAAAAAAAAAAAAATGCAAATTAAAGCAAAATATGCAAAATAAAACAATCAAGCAAAAAATAGAAAACAAAAATCAAGAAAATACGGGGGGAAATGTGATATATAAAGATACAATAACAATAAGAAAATTTTAAAAAAGAGAAAAATTTCAAGAAAAATAAAATTTTAAAAAAATATTAAGTTTTATAATCTGTGCATAAGCTGCAAGACCATAGAACATAATATAAGTTAAAAATATTGAGAAAACAAGAAAAGAACACAAAAGTTGATTAAAAAAAGTAGAAGAGAACCAAAAAAAAAAAAGCAGAAAAGAATTTGAAAGGTATAAAATAAATGAAAAATACGAGAAAAAGTGTTTTATTTTTAATTTATTTTAAATTAAATTCTATAGTTTTACTTCAAACAGAATTATTGAAACTAAATGCACAACTATAAATTGCAATATCAAATAACACAACTTCAAAACATCTAGACAACAAAAAATGAAGAGAAAAAAAAAAGAAAAGAAACAAATTTTGCTACAGAAAGTATTTTTTCTAGTTTAATTTAATTTATTTCATTAATATTTTTTTCGAATGTGTCTTAAACTTCAGATAAATAGTAAACCCATTTATTAATGTGTATGCTTTCTCATATTGTTCAATAATTCAAATTACCAGAAAGATAATTTTATAATGCAATATATAATGTACAAGATCTATTTAACACCGATGACACCTACTTATCAGCCATTTTCAAGCTTGGAACAGGCGAATTGGGAAGCATAAAGTTCTTTCTGGATCGGCTAGCAGAGGAAGGCCTTCCAGGTGATCCAAACTCACCAATAGGAACTATAATAATAAAAATATGTGACTATTTAAATCATAAAAAGATAATTATCTTATAGTTGTGTGCATTCACGTAAGACAGAAAAATTACATACATTATTAAATGAAGTAGAGCCGGACATCTTTGTCTGGCAATAGAATTATACTGGTATTTACTTGTAAATAATTTACCGATCCATTTTTTAAAAATATTGACAAGTAATATTTATCACTCTTTCATTAGTTTTACATTATTGAATTTGGTTATTGTTCAATCTTAAATGTTTCTTTATTAAATTTTAAAGTTATCTCCTGATGTAACCTAAATGTAGGATATTTTGTAATAACATAATTACCTTTCCTATTTTTTAAATAAATTTTTGGTTTAATCATTTCCTTTATTTTGTATTAAAACAGCAAGCAATTTACTTTTTAATAAATTATACTTACTTTGAAATAAATAAATGTAACTGTGTTAAGTCAACATATACGACTAAAATAATGATTACAAAATAAATATTTAAAATTTCGAAACAATATTTTCATACAACAGCTTAATATTTGCAAAAAATTTAACATCTTTACTAAAATTATTTAAGAATTTAAAAAAAAAAATTTCATGAATGAAAGCAGAATACAATGTTAGTTTGAATTTTAACCCAATATAATCCGAAACTAATTTACAGAACAGCAATTAGTACAGAACGAAAAAAATGCCTGCATGTGCAGTAATCTCCCTAAGCATTTTTAGAAGGGCGGCCTGCTAATATTCTGTTCAAAAATAAATAACTCACTGTTTAAATAATAGTTACACACTGGAAAAAGTATCTGTGTTGATAGGTTGAATTCTAATTACTATTACAAATATTTTCTTTGTTAGGATTATTCTCAAATTTAAAATTTTATAATTTAAATTTTTTCAAAGTTGTCTTACCTTTTTTTTAGAGAATATACTTTTAAATGTTTCACTTTTTCAAAATTTTCAGTTTAAATTATAGAAACAGCTTTCAAGTTGTTTCTCAATTTTTTTTTTTTTTTTTTTTTTTTTTTTTTTTTTTTTTTTTTTTTTTTTTTGAAAAAAAATATTCTTAGAGACATGTTTTTTAGCATGCCTTTAATTAATTTTTATAAACTAAACTTTTTGAAATGCAGTGAAAAAAAGATTTTTTCTTTTTATACAGTAAATTATATATATATATAAAAAAGTGAAAGAGTAATTTAAAAATTGTTCAGGATAAAATTCAGTTATTACATAATACTACACAATTTGATACATTTTGGCGTTAAGTGTTCAAAATTCAAAGTGCCCTTTTTTTTTTGAGGAAACACTCTTGCCCATTTTTATTACTAGGGAGAACTCTGGTATGTGATGTATGTATATGGGTGATTCTCACAAAATATGACAATTTACTGTCCCTTGCTCCAAGATCTAATACTATAATACTAAGAAAACTATTTAAAAAAAAAAAATAATAAATAGCACTGCTGTTAGCATTTTAAAATGACTTTGCACTAGCATTGACTGTTTTGTATAGTTAAAAAATTTAATTGAACTTCAAAATGTCATTTTCCTGGCATGTCCCAAACAATGTTTCCAATAATAGCAAGCTTCAAAACTTCCTATAAATTTTTCAATATCTAATTTTTTTTATCTCAACCGGTGTAAGCATTTATAGAATATATATACGCAGAGGGTATTATTCACAAAAACTTTGTTTAAATTAATTTTTTCTGTCAATAATTTGTTTGTCCCAAGAAAGGCTACTTTTATTTAGTGGTTTATAACCAAAATAGATAGAGCTCTCAATCAATATCTTATATTAATAGATTGATTAGATACCCTCCTATATGAACATGTCTCGTTGCATGAATAAAGAACCAATTTTCTGGTTTAAAATCTATTNTTCTGTCAATAATTTGTTTGTCCCATGAAAATCTGTCACTTTCCTGGCTACTTTTATTTAGTGGTTTATAACCAAAATAGATAGAGCTCTCAATCAATATCTTATATTAATAGATTGATTAGATACCCTCCTATATGAACATGTCTCGTTGCATGAATAAAGAACCAATTTTCTGGTTCAAAAATTTTTTAAAGGTGAGTAGGTTTTTGTGTTGTCATTTTCCTCGCTTCTTGAAATCATTAATAACAAAAACTACATAGGTTTATCTGAGTTATTTTAAGAAATCCTGTTGTTTTCTACAGAATATAAATATCTTAGGCCAAAATATTTAATTCAAGTAAAGTTATATGCTATAAAATGGCAAACTTGTCATTATCCTGGCTTATGAATGCCAGGACATTGAAGTGTTACCAGAAATTTTTTTTAACTGCTAATACTGTAAGGAGGGAAAGCAAATATTAACCTAATACCAAGTTTATGTATGATTGTAATATGCTTGGATGTAATCAAAGTTATTTATTTATTTATTGATTGATTATTATACATAATTTTATTCTGTACATATCAGCAACAAAAAATTTTTTAATTCTTTCTACAGTGGATAAAAAGAATCAATTTTAACAATTTATGGTTCATCTAACATAAAGACTTAAGTTGAATTACTTACTATTAACTCAAAATGACTGTTTTTTAAACTTCTAAGCTAATATGTGATTTTCCTGGCATGCAAGATTTTGTGAATTTCTATTTTATTTTTTTCCCGAGCAAATGTCAATAAACTACACTGCTGTCCATAAGATATTACTAAGTGTAACTAAAGAAGTACACAAAAAAAATTTTAGATTATTTTGCCGACTTTAAATTTGAAAAAAATGTTTTGGTCCAAATTGTCATATTTCATGAGAATCACTAATATAACAAATATAAGGATAATATCACAGTATTTTACTTTTGTCCCGTAAAAAATAATAATATTGCTAATTTTATGAGATGCATTTTCAAAATAATCAAAATACAGACATTTTAAAATTTAGCTTTCTGTATACAATGCAAATAATTGACTGTTATTAATTAAAATGACTATTTAAAGAAATATTTACTGTATTATTTCAAAAACTCAACAATAGCTCAAGCTAACAAATGAATCTGGCTGGAAAATCACTTTGTACTATATATATGTCCAACTAATAGCTATACCGAATTATTAAAAGTAATGGACCACAATTTTTTTTTTTTTTCATTTCCAAGCTGAAGTGCAATTGCTGGATTTAATTTCTTACAGATTTATTGGTGTTTAAAGTTAAGGAATTGTTTTTTTGATGGTTCTCTTGATAGTTTTTTTGATGAGCATTCAATTTTAATACAGACTTTAAAGTAATGTGCATGCGCAAAATTTTTGCCCACGTTTATTTTAAGTGTAATACATTTGTGAAAAATTCTTTACATTGATGTTACTTTTTAGTTAAAGAATTATCTGGATGCTTCTTTTTTTCCAATCTACCAACCAAATATGGTTACTTACAATTTAACTAAAATAAAATAATAAGGAAAAAATTTTAACAAAAAATTGTTAAACAAAAAAGTAATTTTCCCAAATTAGAATGAAGAAAATTCTTTAAAGAAATTTTACAATGTAGCAGCAGAATTTAAACATAATAAAAATAGATGTGAAACTTTTTAACTTTAAACCTCCACAGTTATTTATTGATGGCATAATTTTGAAATAATTTATTTCAGGTTTTTGCCTGAAAATTTCCATACCTTTTCCCCCCAAAATCAAATTTTCTGTTAATTTTAGGTTTCTTTAACCCTGTGGGAACTCTGGCATTTTGAAACCATTGAAAAGTATACACTGAACTTTCTATTTCTTAAAAAGAAATTTAATGACTGATTCAACAGTGTACTTTTTATCACGAAAAAAACCGCAAAAAAAATAACATTGATTAAAAAGAAAAAGCAAATATAAACAAACAAAATTATGAGAAGCATGGGTACACCCACATCACACTAATAAAAGTTATTACGCAGCTTTACCTTAAATTTTTTTTAAAAAAACTTACATAATAGTAAGATCTATACAACAATAAATTTAAAAATTCATATCATAAAACAAAAAATGAGAAAAAGAGCAGAAACTTATATATTTCATTAAGGGTAAAATTTAAACAAATTCTCAACAGAAAAAATTATCAGATCAACAATTATGCAAACAAATAGTAGTGACCATAATCATAATCAAAGAAATAGTACAAAAAAGTTATTAGGAATGGAAGAACTAAAGCAATTTCCCAAAATAATAAGTCAATGAAAAGTTATAATTGAAAAGTCGCACTTTTACAGATATTTCTTTATAGCAAATTAAAGATAGAATTGACTGAAGTAAAGCAAACTAACGTAATCAACGTATGCAAATCAACGTAAGTGTAATATATTACCAAAACAAGTTAACATATCCCATAACAAACACATTTCAAGTGCGACTGTATCATTAATACATACTATTTCCTCAAAATCAGAAAAAACATTATGTTTATGTTATAATTAAATTGTTAAACCATAAATCATATGACATATAATCTTCTATTTGTCAACAATAAGTCAGATTGTTTACACTTTCCTAAGAAAATTGAAAGTTACCCATCGTAGAAGTAGGTATGAGTATTTAGTACTTACGAGTTTTCAATCTAGGTCGAGGTGTATGTTGAGGGCTGGAAAACTCAGTAGTTAATTCTCTAGGTAACTTATCGCGACTTCTTGCTTCATTTTCAGCTCGTAAACGAGCTTCTAAATTCATAAGTTTATTGTGAAAAGAAGCCATGGTCGCCATGTCAGATTTTGATACTTTTCACAATAAACGATTAGTAAAGTTGAGAAGTCGAAAGTTGACTGCTGTCACAAATAAACTAATTTTCCTTGTAACCGCCGTCAAGAAAAAAAGATCCAGTTCAACGGAAATGCTTCTTTTACAGAGAATTAAAGAAAAAGAAACGAGCAGCCAGAAACGAACGACATAAACAAACCACTAAGTTGCTGCTCTAAAAACTTTTTTTTATTTTATGTGAAATTAAAACAAATAAATTACTTTTACAAATTAAATAATTTGAACACTAAAAAATAAATATGATTAAGAACGAAATCTCATGCATTTATTATGAACATCCTTAGACATGTTTGTCCTATTCATGTAAAGAAAAATTGATATAGGTACCTTACTCTTGGTGTTAATTTTTTCGAACTTAACATATTTTGTAGGGATACTTGTTTTAAGAAAGCAAAGAAATTTTAGAAAAGATTTTATTTATATTAAAAAAATATTATGTGAATTAATTTTGTTTTCAATCTGATTTTTAATGTTTCTTCTCTTCTAAAATGTCCTTCTTTCAAATTAATAAAACGCTGGCTACTAACATCTCATCCTTTTTTTTCTTCGTTTTTTTTTTTTTTTTTCAATCATGCTTTCACTTATTTATTATTTTTTTTAACTTAATTCTCTTCTGTCACCTGACGATTACCTAACTGCAATTCTTTCGTATTCTGCTTTGTAAACAATAAAATTAGACCACAGACTTGCAAGTTATTTTAATTTAATTACGATTTCAGACAAATAATTTCACTTATCAATTTAGATCACTTATCAATTAGTAAAGAGTAGTATTGTGTTATTTGGTAATGTGCAATTTTTTTTTCCCTTTTACAAAAATTTCTATTAAATTGGAAAGGAAATTGAAAGATTAGCATTATAGAACCCTAATTCCAGAATGCTCAAGACTACCAGTATTGTGAATATTATAATTTTCTGGTTAGACACTGTATTTTTACACTGAAAGGAAATTATTTTTAAATCATTGTTTTTCCTTAATAACAGAATTTGGGTAAAATATGTTATTCTATTTTTGTTATTTAAAAAGTTTTTTGATTTTCTATAGTTAACTGTTCCTGAGATATATTTATGTAACTAATTAATTTGTCTTCCAGATTTGGAATCCCATACTGTTTATATATATTAAACTGCCTAGTTTTAAGATTTTTTTTCGTCTTATTTTGATTTTAAATTTGTTTGTTTTTTAATATCTACAGTATATATATGTATATTTTATTTTGGAAAAATTATATTTCTCAGCATAATCTTAACTGTTTTAAATCTCCACTGATGATACCTGATAAATGGATATAAATGATTTCTGTTATATGGGGATATGTAACCTTTTATAAGATGGCATCCATGTTTTAAAATGGCATAATTATAAAAGTTCATTAAATGTTTCAAATTTTTTAGTAAAATTATAAATTTATTTGTTGTAATTTTGTCAGAGTTCTTAAAATAAAGTTTTTTAAAAAAAAATTCTTAAGTAGTTTTTTTTTTTTTTTTTTTCACTTGATGTCAAAGAGCAGTAAATAAACCATTGGAGTACCACATTTGGTCCCTGGTGTACTCTTGTGTTTGAGATAATCTTAAAGAAATGTTCAGTTAGAAAATATGTTTGTGTTTCATTTCATACTAATAGTTTGAATGTGTAATGCTATTTAAAATACTATATCCAACTATTTAATTTGTTTATTATTCTTCTGTCTTATACAGTTTGAATGCAAATGAACTGAAGATGTCTGAAAGTTCAAACATTGATAGCTTAAAAAATGCAGCTTCAGAAAATAATAAAGAAGCAATAATCGAACAAAGTGGTCCTGTATTTGATCCTCCTGTTTATATGCAAAGATACACATCAGTTAGAGACACATTATTTAAACTTCCTGGTATAGAAAAAGTTGGTATTTTTTTAATTCATTTTATTTTTAAAAAAAGTTTGTTATTATGTGTATTATTAAATTCTGGGCAATCAGTTTATTGATTTGTGAAATAGAGGGTGAAGTTTTTACCTTCGATTTTGTGTTTTTAGCCATTATTGACTTAATAGTTTTTATTTAATTTTTTTTTCATGGCCTTTACACCAAAATGTAAATTAGTGATCTTTCTGCTACATATAAATACACTTTCATTACCTTTTGTCCTACATACGATCATGTTTCTGTCTAGATTTTATCAGATTTACTATACTGTAATTGCACATGTTTCTTAATTTCTGAAATTATGTTCATGTGAAGTTGTAAATCTAAGATTTTAATGACAAAAGAAAAAGAAAAAATGGCTATGGAGCAATCTAAATTTGACAACCATAAATAAATGACTGTTCAGTTGAGCAGAATAACAGTGATAATTAGTTTCAGTCAAATTTCTTAACATGAATTATTTAGAAATCAAAAAAACCCTTTTCTATTAAAAATGCTGTTTGTTAAGATGTTGAAGATAAGCAATATAATAACATCTATTAAACTGTTATTATACTGGGTATATATATCATATATACCACAATAATATATTGTACACATTAAGTGCTATTGAAATAAAGGTATAAACATATGCAGGTTGAAAAGACATCTCCTCAGGTGGTTTTTATAAATGTTGTTTTTCTGTTAAGAGGTAAAATGGGGTTTTATTTGCTCATGTGCAACAAAAAATTTGTAAAAGATGTTTTTTTAATTAATGCCGTTCTAATTCCCTGCATTTTTTTAAAAGTTTTTTATGTATATTTACTGCTGTGTAAAGAAATTGTAAGTAGGTAATAATGTTTAATAAATCATAGTCATCTTATTAGAATTTGACACCAAATTATCAAGGTTGATCTCAAAAAATAAATTTTAAAAATCACAATCTTTTGCATATGAAAATTTCACTGTCTCTAAATACCTGTGAATTTAATAGTAAATATTTTTAATATTCCATTGTCTTTCTTAAAAAAAAGGTAAAAATGAAAGAAAATCATGTATTTTATTTTTTCCACACTGCTTATCAAACTATGAGTCATAAAAACCATTAAATTATTAATCTTGTTTCTTTCCAACAGGAAAATTCCTTAAAAAATTTACAATTAAAGAAAAAATTTTAAAAAATATATACATGAATTTTAGGATATTTTTTTAAAATTTTTTTAACTGTTTTCTTTTTTTCTCTTTTTTTTTTAAGTAGCTTTTACGTCTTTAAATTAAACTCATTCATCATGAATATACTACAACTGTATCGAGATAAAATACCATTATTAAATGCATAAAAGTTGGGCTCTCAATGAACGTTGATCCGGAACCACTAAAATTTGACTTGGACCTTCATAAAACGATTAACAGTTTTGTCCCAAATAAGCAATTGATGTAAAAAAGATGGTCTGCTGTTTTGGTTTCATGTTTTGATTTCTGTTATTATCACGAAATAACATATTTCATCAAAAATATGTTTCTCTGTATTGTAATTTTTCATTTAAATTCACTTTATTAACTTTTTGTATGAAAAAATTTGCTAAAGACATATAAATGGTCCAATGAAATTGTAAATAGACTAGTAATATCTTTTGAAAATAATTTTCTTTATATCTACCCTTGCATAACGAGCGATTTATCCTCACTTCGGCCGAATCACGCTATTGGTCGAAAATGACATCACTCTTTGGGGGCAGGGAGATGGTGGCTATTGGCTGGTGTTTGCATGATTTTGGCGACAAATTTCTTATTCACACATGCTCGCTTGGAATTCATTCCTTCTTTTATCTTTTACAGTTATAAAGTAATAAAAATTGAAATAAATATAAGCTCAAATTTACTAATACATCGCAATTTAGTTGTGTTATGAATAATTTTAAAAACTTCATAATCTAGCAACATGCAAATTTAGTTCAAAGTTATGACCAAAATTCTGGGCTAGCCCCTCCCCCCTGCATTTCTAGATCAACCCCAGTTGCCCATGACGTAAAAGCAGTATAGTTTAATATCACTTACTTAGATTCTAATAAAAATTACCACAAAACTGTGAATTTTGTCTTTATTACTTAACATTAATATCACGTGTAAACAGAGCGCGTTTGAAAACCATCATAAATATAAAATCTGTCGCCAAAATACTATGCAACACACAGCATGGGTTTTCCCCCAAACAGTGTAGTCATTTTCAACCAATAGTGTGATCCGGCCGAAGTGACGTTTAATCGCTCGTCTTGCATAATACTGTTTATTACATAGAAGCAAGACGACTTGTATATAAGTAAAGAAATTCACATTCAGGCTTGATATTTATGTTTTTATTATTAAACGTTAAATTCAGAAAAAATATTTATTACATTTTAAAATTTAGACATAGTTCCTTTTATTATGTTTTTAAATTTTCATTGCTAATTATTCATATACAATTCAAAAATTTTATGAAACTATTTTTAACTTTAAGGATTCAAGTCTTATAATTGCATAATGTGAGATTAAATAATTTGTACTGAACCAAAAAGTGTTCCTGAATTATAAATTATTAGTATTAAATAAGAAATAAAGTGAGAAAACCTCAATTATGTTAAAAAGGCTTTTTAAAACTACTTGATTTTCCTTCATTTGGAGCAATGATTATTATTCTCATAAATTGGTTTCAAATGTTAAGATTTATGTCATTCATTTTTTTTTCTTTTTTTTAAATATTTTTTTCTTCCTAAATTTAGTATTCAAACTTCATAAATAGCATTTCTTTTCAATTCTTTTAAAAAATATATATATATATATTTATAGCAGACTACATTTATCCCATTTTGCTTGCTAAATTTAGAATTCAAAATTCAAATGTTTTATGTCTGAATCTCTCAAACAATTATTTTTATTGATCCATTTAGTTTACTTTTTTTCATCATTAGCTCAAAATTTTGTAATTATGGGTAATTATTATGATCTGTTCTCAACTATACACACTGAAGTTGGCAAATGTAATTTCATTAATGTTATCCTGAAAATAAAGCATTTGTTTTAGAATTATTCCAGAATTGTGTTATAAAAACTTAAAATAAAAAAATGAAAAATTATTTTTTTCCTGCTCAAAACTACTTTACCAATCATTCAGTTTGAAATGTGCTGACTAATTTAATCAATTGAATATTTTCCATTAAGCCATAAACTTTTTCTTTTTATTTGTTGTTAGGACATGCTTGATAAAATTAATTGTCAATATTTAAATTATTTTATAAAAAAAATTTTATGTCTACAATAAAAATTTTTATATTTTCCTCAGTTTATCATACGGTAGTTTAAAAAAATCAACATAGCAACAATTAGTGCAAATTTTTGTTATTCTTAAAGAAAATATAGGATAAAAGTGTTCCGTAAATGCCACATACTTTAAATTGGAGAAAAAACTGATTAAACCTTCACTCAAAAGTTTTTCTTGTGTCCATAATTAATGCATGTAATAATATGTGCTTGAAGAATTTAGCATACTTTAGCTTTTTAAAAAAAAATTGTCTCTTTATATTAACTTTTCTATTAAAATTAGAATTCTATTTACTAATTTGCTTATAAAAATTTAGCTAAAATTAATGACTGTTTTTATCATTTCAGGTTGTTGATTTTGGATGTGCTGAGGGAAAATTTGTGAAATATTTGAAAAAACTTCCTTTTGTTACAGAAATAGCTTGTGTAGATGTTTTAGAACATGCTTTAGAAAACACAGTTCGTTGTGCCAGGCCAACAGCATGGGATTATGTATTTAAACGTCACCAACCCTTAGATATTAAAATTTTCAAAGGAAGTGCTTTGGAAAAAGATAGTAGATTTAAGAATTTTAGTGCAGTAACATGCATTGAATTGTAAGAAATTATTCATTTCTGTAATCTAGATCAATGTATTTTATACATTTTTAACACTATTATTCTGAAAAAAATTTTCAGTGATGCATGCATTCCTAATACCAACAACAATTTTCATGGGAGTTCAACAAAACCTATCTTGTTGTTTCATTTATCTAAAAAGTGATATTTTCATATATTGTATAACTACCATTTTAACTTAACACAGAATTATTTCATGCACTAATTTTCTTGCCTATTCAGATTAATTATTATTTTAATAGTATCATAAAATTCGAAACTAAAGAGGTGTTATTAAAAAAAAATTAGATGTTGCTAAATCCATTTTCACATGACTCCTACCAAAATTCTGCTCTCATAAATACAAAATTTTTCTGTGTGTCATTTTTTTTGTAGCCTATACAGAATAATTATTGTTTTAATAGTAAAACTAAAAAAAATCAAATTAGAAAATTTTTAAACCGTGTCATAAAATGTCACTAAATCCATGTTCATGTGACTCGTCACAGATTTCTCTTTTGCGATATTCCAAAATTTCATTTTAATCTTTTATTATCATTATTATTTAGTCTATGTTTTGATATTTTGCAATCTTGAATCAAATTTTTTTTCAGAGTGGAACATCTACAGCCTCAAGATTTGTTACCTCTTACAAAAAATATATTTGGTTTCATAAAACCTAAAGTTGCTATTTTCACCACTCCGAACAGTGAGTTTAATGTTCTTTTTCCCAATCTGCAAGGGTTTCGTCATTGGGACCATAAATTTGAATGGAGTAGGAAGGAGTTCAAAGATTGGTAATTTTTTATAATTGTTCATTTTTCTGCAGAGCTATTGTAATGTAATTTCATCATTCATTTTTTTTTTCATTTATTTCTAAATTTTTTTTCTACGACCTATATCATTCTTAGGATAATATTTTGTAGAAACTTTGAAATGATTCTGTGTCAATATTGTCTCATTATTGTTAATTGCTCTGACCTGCCAATTTTCAGGTTTTGACCTCAGGCGGCCACTAAGTATTATCTCATGTTTTTTCTTAAGTAGTATACCATTCAGAAACCTATGTATACTTTCCATACAGCCCTCAAAATCCTTTCTTACAGATCAGTGATTTTAAATTTATGTGTATTTAGTTTATTGTTAAAACCAATTTAGAATCTTTTTTTTTTAATTTTTGAATTCCTAATAATTATAAAAAAGATTGCATGACATTGTTTTTTACAAATAATGTAAGGATGATTACTCTTTTAAGAGTGATACCTCAATCCATACTACAATAGCTGAAAAATTTCAATTTTTTTCTTTTTCAAGCTCCAAGTGTTTTGTAAATTGTTTTTCATAGTTAGTCAAAGTTTTAGAAAAAGGTAACAAAGCTCATTTCAAAAAAAAAAAATTTCATTCTTTTGATGGGATTGATACAAAATAATGTAAAATCAGTAGAAGGAGGGTAATACCTATAGTGTGTTGGCAAAGTTAAAACTGACGATATTAATTATTTCTAACAGTGGTGTGACCTATGCGAGAATATTCAGCCTCTTAACAAAAACTTCTATACAGATTATAGAACTAAAAAATATTATATATCAACATCTAGAAAAAATTGTTTAGATGATATTTTCATTTCATTTTAATAGCTAATTATTTATGACAAATTTGATTTTTATTGTTTAGCAATTTTTAAGAATGAATAATAAACCTCTTTGCTTGCTGAATCACTGACATATGTGATTTTTATTGTTTACAAATTGAATTTTTACTGTTTGACTACTTCTGAAAAGGAATAGTGAACCTATTCTTCTAACAATCTTAAATCATTGACATCTGTGACTAGCAGATCATAGTCTGGCAAACTGCATTTGATTTTAAACACTGTCACTTGCTTTACACATGGCACCAAAAGTTATCTTTCTTACTTACGAAAATTAACTCACTTCAAGAAATTTTGTGCTTTATGGCTTTTTTTACTTCATCAATACATCCAAAAATGAATACATTCATATTGCATATTTTGTTTAAAAAAATATTATGTACTTTTAAAAAAAAGTGCTTCGATCTAGAAACTTATTAAGTATTGTTTAAATTTAGGATTTTTATTATTTCTGATTGACTGTTATGAAAATGGAATTTGTTTTCTTCAAAAATATAAGATAAAGACTTCAAAGTATCGAAGCAAAATAATTGAGTCAAGATGTTCTAAAGAAAATATTGTGTGAGAAATTGCATGAATAAAATAACTTGAGCAGGATTTCAAAGATTGTAGGACATAATGTATGTGGGATTCAGAACAGAATCACACTGTTCTGGGACAGAATCACCTTTTTGTCAAACCTAATTAACTTTTATATTTAAATTTCAAAATCTGAAGCTTTATTTTGTTTATTTTTTTAGGTGCCAAAGCATCCTTGATGATTATCCAGACTATACAGTGAGATTTGATGGGATCGGTGAGCCTCCTCCGGAATCTTCATCTCTGGGCAGTGTATCCCAAGTAGCAATATTCACTTTAAAGCCTCCATATAATAATGTCTGTGATAATAATACAGAGTGTGGTGAAGTTTATCATCTGGTAAGAAAATATGTTTATTACAGACAACACAATTATACACAATTATGTTTATTACAGACAACACAATTACAAAATTATAACAGAAAACATACACGATGACAAGTAAAAAAATACCCGATTCCAGTATTTTCTTTGCGGCGGGAGGCCACCCTGATTATAATACTAATATTGTGTACCTAGGTATTCCATGAGTAAAAGAACTACAGCCATAAACATTCCAATTTTAAATTCCAATTGCCAAATTTTAAAGAGACAATGAAATAGAAATGTATACATTTATATTTAGTTTTTAAACAGAGATTCAAAATATTCTTACTTAAGCTTGCTAAAAATAACAAATTCACACTTAGAAATTAGCTTTTAATTCAAAACGTTGCTAATTTTATACAAAATCTGCATGAAAAACATTAAAGAATCCTTTAATAAACTCTTTTTTAAATTCGTATTAGCATAAAGAAATTTTCTTAATCTACATTCTTCAGAAAATCTATATAAAATGTGAGAAATTTCTGAAATGTAAGAAAATTCTGACAATAAAAAATTTTTAATTTGAAAATTAATTTCTGAAAAAATTTTTTTATTTGGCTTAAAAATATACTTTTTTCTAATAAAAATATGTTAAAATACTCAAAGCGTAACAAAATAATTTTAGTTTGGTTTTCAAGAGTTTACTTTTGGTTTCAGTTTCATATGCCCGCATATGAAGAAACTACTCTTACTTCATTTCTAAGAATCGGAGTTCAAAAATGTAAAAGGTTTTGAGAAGCTAATGAACTAAAGTTCAAATATAGACAGTAATAAAATTTTAAAAAATTTGAAATTGCAGATTTTTCCCCCGTTGGATTCTTTAAAAATTCACTCTTCAAAAATTGATAGAGGGGTAACACTGCTCTCAACACTGTTTTTTGAAAACCACTATTCCATACATTATTAGTTGAAAAGTTTTTAATATTTATCTCATTATTACTTAGTATTAGTTTCCTTAAATCTAAATACAGTATGTGTACTTTTTGTTCTAGGTTGATGAATTTCACTATCCTGGCCGCTCAAACAATGATGCCAAAGTGACTTGATGTGTATAGAGTTCAAAGCTATATATATATATATATATATTTGTTAATTGATACACTTAAAACTTTTTCGTCCATTTAACGGTGCCTATTTACTTTTTATTACTCATTTACTGTCATTCAATGTGGCATTATCATGCTTATACAAATAGCGAGATTTTTGTAAGACTTTTACATGGCACTTTTGTTTTTAATTTCATTGCATCGTTTCAGAAATTATCCTTTAATTTCAAATTGACAATTCTAAAATTCCTATTATCCTTCTAAACTATTACTCAAAACTCTATTTAAACTAAGCTAAAATGCTGTATTTTTATTCAAGTATAATTTAAAGTTAGAATAGTGTTTCCTTAATAGTATGTTTTTACTATATCTTGCTATATCTTAATCAATTTCATAATATAATGAAAATGTAGTCGAATTGGTATATATAAAATAGGGAATCTGTGTGTCCCTACAATATTAAAAACAATGAGATTGATTCTATTCTCTCTTTAAAAAATTTTTATTTTTATGTTCTATGCTTTGAATATTTTTATTTCTAATAATGTTCTTTTAATAAATAAACTGTTCAAAAAAATTATACTTTATAGATAGCTATTGAGACATCACAGTATGTTTACTCCAACCTAATTTATTTTATGTTAATAATAAAAAAAAATTCATAATAATAATGTAACTAATTAATTCTTTCTACAAAATTTAAAATTTTTTAAACAGTGTAGAGAGTTACTACAATATGTTTTCTTCAACAAAATTTTCTATTTGTAAGAAATAATTACATTTTAATTAAAATTATGGTAAATTTTAGTCATAAATTTTAAATTAAGAAATAATTACATTTTTGAACCTTGTCATAATAATCAAGTTAATTATAACTTCTACAAGACTTAAAATTGTTTTAATATAGTAAAAAGTTATGAAAAGTAACCACAATATGTTTTTGTCAACACTAAAAAAATTCTCTCTCTTTCTCTGATAAGCAATAATCAAATGTGTCTTAACTGAGAAAATTAATTTATAAATTTTACTAAATAAGAACAATAAAATACATTTGAAATTATATTTTGTCTGGTTTTTAGTATGTCTGAATTTTTTTTAAATGCTTTTTCTCTGAGATTATATATTTGTTTCGAAATGGTCATTTTGATGCAGATGTACACTAGATACCTCTCAAAGATTTTTAATTCTCAAAACTATCTACCTAATTTTCAATGAACTTAGAACAGAAATATATATTTTTTTTAACTGATTTTATTATTTTTTCTATCTAAAAATAAAATCCTGTTGATCTTTAGTTTAATATCTAATAAAATATTCTTGTGTGTAAAGAGGACAATGATATTTTTTTAACCCTTTTCCCGATGGGAAGCGTGAAAGCGCGCTTACCGTTACTCTCTTGCGTGTATCTCTCCAGGGCCGGAGAGTTTTTTGCTGTTAAGCCTAATTCCATGAAATTACCGAAATATCAACGCGTTGTTTAATATTGTTCTGTAGAGTATTTAAATGACATATGCTTTATATATATTTCTATGGATACTTTATTTACTTAAGTTATTTCTTGTTTAAATATATATTTTACACATTTTATTTTCATTATGTACTTATTATTTAATAACATTTAACAATACATATCTGAAAACTAAATATATGACTTAAAGTTCTTTTTTCGTATGAAAAATTTTAAAACAGGGATCTACAAGATCTAACTGTCCACTAAAAACTAAACCGAAAATCAAAGAAGCGAGAGAAAAAACCTCCCCTGCTTACTGTAAACAAATACCACATGCGAAATTACAGATCCGTCATAAAACATTCCTTCCCCCTAAAAACCACGTGAATGTACTCTCATCTTGAGTAGAAGGTCAAATCTACTTGTATCTGAAACCATATGAACATACAATGCCATCTTCTGGAAGAAATTTTATTTTTTAAAACGTTCCGAAGAGCTGGCACAAATATGTGATGACCTGGGGTGAACAAGAAAGCGCTCTGGCACACGGGTGTGTCAGCCGGGAAGTGAGCGTGTTTCTAGCTGACACGTATATGTGACAGTCGGCGCGAAAGGGTTAAAAGCTGGTTTAAGAATATTTTGTTTTGGTTAGAAAAGAAAACCTTGATCTTTAGTTTAATGTACATAAAGTAACACACCAATACTTCAATTCTACCCGAGGTTTTTCCAAAAATGTCTCTGAAAAAAAAAACTTTTTTAAGTGTAATAGTAGAATAATGCATAAAAGTACAAATTGTGTAGCTAGCAAAGACAGGTGATCATTTCATTACTGTGCCAAATACTATTATCTGTCAATATGCAGAATGAAAATACTTACAAAAATACTTTTAAACCTGCAGAGTTTTTGGAAGTAAGCACTAAAGAGCCTTAGTGCTTATAAGTACTGATACTCTTCAGTGCTTATTTGTTATGAAGAAATAACCAGATTTAATTATTGACAAGATATGTAAAAGCTTATCCTAATTACACTTTGATGATATCTTAAACTTACATTAAATCGTTACCCAGTATTTTTCAAATTAAAATGAAAACATTCTTTCTAATATACATCCCAGATCAATATCAAGTTGCATGAAATACTTCGAGTGAAATTGATTCTTAACAAAAGGTTCCAATTATTTGATAATAATATAAGAAGCATTAATGATACAAAGTCATTTCTTGATTAATGCTTGCATAACATTAGATTCCAAGTTTTATTTTTTTTTTTCATTTTTGAACTAATTTTTTATTCCAAACAATAAAATTCAAGGTAAATATTATCGAGCTACAATTTGTTACAAATTTATTAAGGTTTTTCCGATCTGCATAAAGGAATTATATTTAACTGATTCTCAGATAGTAGTGCCTGTTGTTGCTTTTTCATGTGAACTTGTTTTGTCAAATATGTAATAGGAAATTAGCCAACGGTGATAAGCAACTTTAAAAAATCTTTTTTTGTACACACCGAAAGCTCAAGAAACCATAATATTTAATTATTTTTTCATTATATTTAATTCTATTTCTATAATTTTGTACAAAAGTATTTTACATTTAAAACATTGTTCATATAGGAAATGAAAAAATTATATTTCGCATAAATTATGTGCTAGAAAAATAAAATGCAAAATACATGGTTTTATTATATGGCACCCTTGCAACAATTGTGTCGAAACTCAAAAAAGCGAATTTTCTCGCAAAAAATTAGCATCTATTCCTAACTGCTTTTTTGATTTATTATTATGACTTGTTGCAATTTCTATCTATAACAAATTTAACTTGCTGTGGTTTAAAAAGTGTATGTGATCGACAGTGGCGTAGCGAGCTTAACTCGCGCCCGGGGCACAATACCTTTTTAGCGCCCCCCCCCCATTCGAAAACCATACAAGATAATATGTAAAATACACTANGGACCAATTAAAGTAAATAATACACACTGAAGAATGCAAAATAGTTGTGAACTTGACCATTTAATCAAACAAAAAACAACATAATTTGATTCATTAAATCCATGCGTGTGGCATGGCTGGAGCACATTGAAATATTAAATAATAATAGAAATGTAAGAAATATTTTAAATTGGTAACTTTTGAACTCAAGACCAAGAGGAAAACCGGAAAGGAGATGGTTGGTCAATAAAACCTATGATCTAACCAATTAGAAGGTGAAAAACTGAAGTCAAAAGCTGAAAATAGGAAAGTCTGGGGCGATATTATTCAAGAGGCCAAGACTCCCAGCGGGCTGTAGTGCTGTATAAGTAAATAATGGAAGTTTTAAATTAAAAATAAAAAAATATTTTGAGTTATGACGTTTCAAGGGTGTGATATATTACAGTCAGTGTACAAAGAAAATTGTCTACTTATTAGAATTTTACAATTTAGTGAAATAACTTATAACTTACAAAAACATAGATATGCAGTAAATAGTATGCAACTATGTTTGTCAATTTATATATTAATAAGTGTCGTTTATATTTTAACAAAATAAAGGCTGTAGCAAATCAAATACAAGTTTAGAAATCCTATATTATTGAAGAACAAACTACTACTTAGCAAATTAGACTTTAAATTTTGATTATGGGAAACTAAATTAACTAATCCTCTATTTTTTCATATAAATTATAGTTTTTTCAAAACTCTTTGAATCTTAGTTTGTTTTCAAAAAAAAAGTATACATTTTATGATAATTGCTGCATATTGTCTCCTAATAAGTTCTTCTTAGTACGTTTTAAAGTGTTACGCTCCTTATTAAGGAAAAAAATACAATTTCGAATTTTATCCAGAAATCGTTTTACATTGAAATTTTGAGGGTTGACGAATAGATCAAATAGTTCTTTCCATGCAATGTCTATCGTTTTGACATCATGACCATCAGTATCAAATGTCCATGCGAGTAAATCAATGATCTGAACAGAAGCAGGTACCTCTTCAAAAACTCTAATAAAATGCCTGGTTTCTGCTGACTGAGAGCTCTTCAAAAGCTTTACATAAAGGGATTTGAGTCTTCTGTAAAATACGCTTATGTTCTCTGGATTATAAAAAGCTATCTCATTCAAAAACTCTAGCACATCCTCGTCATCTATAATCGATTCCAATTCCTCCTCTTGGGTTACCAAACGATGGAATGTTTTGATATATTTGCGCGTTTCTTCAAATTGAGAGCTACACTGTACTCCGTGCACATAAACTAGAGAGGTTGAATCGATGTCTTTCTGAAATGTCTGTCTTATTTCAAATTCTTTGGCTTTCAATTCTTTCTCGCTCATTTGTTTGGCGAACAATCCTGCAAAAAAGGTACCGATGGCGGCAGCTATCCTTGCTCCGAAAGTAGCACCTGGGTGTGGAATATCGTCTCCAAGTCTGTTAATTCCTTGGATCACATCACCGATTTTGTCAGATTCTCTGGAGGACTTGTCTACGACTACTTCTAGTTGCTCAAGTAGAGATACGCTTTTACCGCGACATTCATCCCATTCGCTATAAAAAGCCTTGAAGATTTCCAGCGCACGATGGCTACCTACAATTAAATCAGCAACATCTCTACCTGCTGCAATTAATTGTAGTTTCTTTCTTTTAGAATTTGCATCTGCCATTATCAAGAAAAGTTATGAGCTGTAAAAAATAAAAGGAAAATGAATTAAAACAAGACATTTCCAATTATATATTATCTTCTGATTACTGATTATATATAATAGAGATCATAGCTTCTATATATATATATATATATTACTATGTATAAGTAAAGTTGCTATAAACAATTTATAACTTACCATGAAGTCACATTGAGGAGGTGACAATTACACTTTCGTTTGAGAGGATGTCTTTTTATACATATTTATTATTTATATCCAAGTGTTGGTGAGACTGTAAATACGGATATAAAACAAATAAATTTTTGCTTGTAAATTATTTTTCTCTTATTTCACCATATCGCGAGAACTCTTTAGGCGAATTGAAAAGGTTTGCACTCAATTGTAAAATTCATTCATCAAAGGTTATTTCATGCAAAAAATATAATAAATTTTAGTAATTAATTATTTTTTATAATTATTTTATTTAATAATAGTCGAGAAAATTTGAATTGAAAGGTGTAAAAAATTGTGCATCATTTTAACAAATGTAATTTTATGTGTCAAAATTGAACGAAATCGGTGGGATAGTTCCTGAGTAATCGAATTTTAAATCTGTGACTTTTTCAAAATTCGGTTTCTCAGGAACCATTCGACCGATTTCATTCAATCTTTGTATTTTGCCACATAAAAGTACATTCTTTAAAATGGTGTAAAAATTTGTATACCTTGCAGTTCAAAATGTTTACGACTTTTTCCATGCTTTATTATATATTAAAATTATTTTTTGACCGAAATAATCTTTCGATAGACGGATATTTTAATCGTGGGCCAAAAAAAAAATTTTTTCCAATTCGCTTAAAAAGTTCTCGAGATATGGTGAAATGCGCCTAAGTAAAATGGACATTAAGGGGTCAAAACATTCAGCTGCTCTATTGACCTAACTGTTTTAGGATCACATTTCCCAGACTACGGCTTCTCTCTTCATTTTGAGGGTCAGGAATCCAAATTCCTCGGAATAAAGGTAGGTTTATTCAGAGAAATACATTTTTACACCTGGTTTCGTAACTTAAAATATCGTTTGCACTAACTAATTAGAACATTTGTGATCACTTCGAACTATTGAATCCTGGTACGTGAAAATCTGAACATGAGATCAAAAGTTATTCTGGGTGATTTGTTTATTTATTTATTTATTTTGTGCACTGTATATTAAAGCCTGCTTAGTTTACTAAATTTTAATCAAATGCAGTACTGATAAAAACGAAAGAAAATATTCATTATGAATCACTGAAAAATAAAATTTACTTCAACGTAATAGTAAATGAAATTTAAAAGGAAAATGTATATTAAAGTTAACATAGCCTTTTTGTAAAATGAAATAGGCCCGCTGTAAGTTAACTGTTTAGAAATATTTTAACGTTCTTCAAAAAAAAAATTAAGATTAAATTTACTTGTTCAATATTTTTCAAGGAAAAATTGATCATTGGCACTAAATTCAACCCCCTCTCCTCCTTACAGATTTTTAAGAACCTTATTTAAAGAGGTTCTACACCATTTTTTTTTCTAATGATTGGAATATAAGTTATTTCTGTATTGTTTTTTCTATCTTGTCTGGTTTTTTTGATGCTCTCTGTTTAGCCTTCGAAATAAACAGGAGGTGTACTGATTATAAACTAATATAGAAATAATTGAAATAGAGATGAATTTGAATCGAATCACTATTCAAATAAAAATTTTAATTTTTGCGGCAATTGCTGGAAAAAATTGTAACAAACTAATTTTCAAGAAAGTTAATCTAGGGCCTCTCTCTCACACTGTACCGCAGTTCAATTGCAGTTGAATCAGCTAACTGTTTATTATCATATCGCCCCATGATTAAAAGTTCCATAGTTCCAAATAGCATAGCCTATGCATACGAAATTCATGGTTTCAACATGATTAAACTTTGGCTCTTTACTATTGCTTTAAGTATACATTCTTATTTAATTACAATAAAGTATTTGGGACAGTTCTCCATTTTTTTTTTTCTAAATTTGTATAATGCAAAATTGTACGCTGATATAATAGCGAAAATTTTATGTTCACATTTGAAGCCAAAAAATAATAACTTATTTTGATAAATCTATTTTTAATATGAAAAAAAGTTGTATGCTAATATAAATTACTATTTTCTAAATGGTAATTTAGAAACGATAATAAAAAATTCGTTATGGTAATAACTTAAAATTCTTATTAAAAGCAAAAATGACTTTAAAAAAGAAAATTAATGCTCTCAAAAAAAATTTTTCTAACCTTAAAAAAAAATGTACTTTTAATTTGTATTTAATCAAAAAATAAGTTAAAATAAATATGTAATTTATAGTTAAATAAATGTAAATTATAAATGTATAATTAATATAAAAATTAAATAAATTTGTTTATAATTATTTAATTTATAATTAAATAACTGTAGGTGAAACATAAATTATACGCTCTATGAGGAAAAAAAAATACATAGATTTAAAAATAATACATTTGTCATCAAATATTCTAAACTCTAAGTGTGATAAATCTGATTAATACAGTAAATTTTGGTTTACCAACGTCCAGGTAAAACTTAAGTACTGGCTGTAAAAAAGGATTTTCAAAAACGCACCACTTCTTTCCAATTTAAAAACATGTTATATTCGTTCGTGATTTCTGATCTAATTGAATTTCAAATATGATAAGCCAAAATAAAAGATCAGTCAGAGATAGCTACAATTAACCTAAATCATTCTTTATGCCAGCGGTTTCCAAATGGTCTTTCATGAAACTCTAGGGTTCCACGAATTGATACTTTTAATAACCGATGATGTGAAACCTCCTATAACTCATAATTTATTTTATTTTTTAATTGCTTTCATGAAATTATTTCAAGTACAATACCAATGAAATAGAAGTGGCACTTTTTTAAAAGAAAATATAATATTTCTAGTAATATTACATTTAATAAATTATGAAAAGAACAAGTATTTGTAAAATGTTGCATTAGTATTTCAAATCGCACTTTTCAAATCAAAATAAAATAACTGAACTCTTTAACAAAGTAAGATAACCTAGAAATTATTTTCAACGTTTATAGCAATTCTCATTAGCTTTTATTCTCGAAGAAAACCATAATGCGGTTATTATATTATTCATTTTCGGCTTAAATATTTATATATGTATACACACACACACACACACATATATATATATATATACCAAGAACAACAGATCCATAATTGGACTAGATATAGTATAAGGATTGCAAATTTAAACTGTCGGATATGAAACCTAATTAAAGATTATTGTTGACAAAACAATGAAAAATCTTCATTCCTCTAAATAAATATTTCAAAAACAGTCTTCTATAGGTTATTACGTTCACAATTAGTTTTATAAAATTAATTTATAATATCGGGATTCCGCCGAAAAACAATTGATCATTTAGTTTTCTTAAACCGAAAAAAAATTGGGAATCGTTGCTTTATTTTACCAAGAAGCTCCTTCTTTACACGGCACAATTTTTTTCATAGTTCGAATTTTTTAACCGAACAAACAATTCCTTTTGTCCACCTCCCTAGCAGCAAAATAACGTGGGCCCTCATTGGACCAATCTTTCCAAATAAGAGTTCAAAGGGGCAATATATTTCCAATTTATTTTCGAATACTCTGTAGAATTGTCCGAACCAACCGATATTCTACTGCAACTTTAAAACCAATATCAACCCTATATGGAATTGTCAGATTCACCCGATATTTTATAGTTATTATTCAGCCGATATTGACACAGCATGGAACCAATATTAAAAAATCTAAGCATCCAAAAATTGGTTCCTCGGAGCATGTTCATAGGACCCATATTGAGCCCAACTGGGGCCAAGGTACAATTGTTGCTAGGGCTTATAGATACAATATCAATAAATAAACAGCTAAGTAAGAGGGAAAAAAATCTGTTTTCGATCAAAATAGAAATTTTTTCACAATTGTTAACACTAAGAAATAATAAATATTTAAATAATTTTTAGTCTTACTCCAATTATTCTTTCTGGAATACTTCGGAACCTAAACTAACAAGTCGCATTTTTATCAACAATCAACTTGTGATTCACGCCCTGAAGTCTGATAGTGAGAACTTCAGTATCAAAATGATGGCGAAGTTATGAAAAAAAGTAATCTGATCTATATCGAACAGAAAAAAAGAGAGATAGAGAGAGAAAAGACGACGCCTGGTGCTGACACTTATGACTAGTTTCACTTTCAAGTTTCAAGTATTTTACTTTCTTGTGCTACAAACTAAAATGTAACTTTTGTGAGTTTGTGACTGGTTTCTTGAAATCGCCTTCAACCCATTTTCTCGCAATTTTTATGAAACTAATGCAAGTAAAAAAGGAAATATCGATATATTTGTCACATATATAAGTTTTAGTAAATAATGCATTTATTTAAAGTTTTAACAACAATTTATGAAAGGAGAGCGTTTTAGAATATTCGGCGTAACGAGTCCCTGATAGTGATTTCTTTGCATAAAATATACATAAAAAATATAATTTTTTTTTTTACTCAAATATACTTATAAAATGAAATATACATTGCGTAAAATCCCAGCAGTGGCTGGTTAATACGAATTTCACCCTAACTCGGATCGACCACAATGCTGACGTAAAATAATTGCAGCGAATGACATAATCATGAGTTAGAATCCCTTTACTGTCGAGCTAATCGTGGAAAGTTTTCATGGCTCTCTTGTCTTCTGGGTTTGGTTCGAAATTATAAGGCTCCGGAGTTGAACAGTAAACTCAGTTTATAGCTGTTAAACTCAAAATTGGCGCTTTCGCTCAATGCCAATTATAAAAAAAAATACATTGTGTAAAATGTATCTCCTCATATGGATTATTTTAAAGTAATAATAGAAAAAGTAGCCATATTTTAGTGATATGACAGTGATACTCATCTGTTTTGAGGTTCCGTAAAAACCTATGACCACAGTACCTATATTATTATATAAGGTATCTAGTATCGCAGCTCCTTTTACCTGAATGTCAGTCACCTTCTAGACCAGGGGTTTCCAACTCACATGAGGCCGGGGGCTTACTAGTATTAATATAATAAAAATATCATTGAATACAAGTATTTACATAGTTTATAAAAGAAGATAAAAGTAGTGTAGGCAAATACATACCTTACTATTTATGTACTATATGTGTTAATTTCGAAAATTTATCTTCAGAGAAAATATAATCCAATACAGAGTTTTATTAACATTTAATCATTTGATGGCAAAATATGATTAGTTTAAAAAAACAAGACTGAAATTCAGGTACAAATTTAAAGAACAGTAAGAATCCTCCTTTTGTTAATTCACCGCCAATAATCATAACTAAATAAAAGAAATTTGCATATACGTTTCTTTGAAAGTAGTTTTATATGATATTTGTTTATATTTTGTAATTTTACCTTCTTAAAGAAGTCAATAAAATCTGATTAAAATCAGATATTTATATATTTGGTTAAAATTTGTATACTGTAGAGATATAGTCAGGAAATGGATTTCTTTTTTCTTTTTTTTCAAATTTTATGCTATAGATGTAAATTATTTTATAAGGAATATTGCTAATAGTTTATTTTTAATATCACACATGAACATAACAAACTCCAATGTTCTTCTGAATATATTTCTGTCTCATATTCATAATTTTTCTTTAAACAGGTAAATGTTCCATTCGAAGAAAGGAATGCATTTGGAACTATCAAGAAAATAGAAAAAATACTGCAAACCAAGTTAGAAGGAAGATACAAATATTAAAAAATGGTGTTTTTTAAAAAAAATAATAACTTTTACTGTTTAAAAAACTTTTCATGTTCAGCGATTCAGATATTTTTTTTAAACTGCCTATTTCTCAAAATTATTTATAGCTAAGCTTTAATAAAAGTTGAATCTTTTACTTTGTTGGTAATATCACTAAAAAAAGTTTATAATTCAAGAAATCAAGTAATAGCTAGAAATCACAAAGTTCCATCCAAATTTACCTTCTTTAAAAAATATACACCTGATAAACTACAAATAAACAATTCTTAGTGTTGGTTTCCTTAAATCTAAATACAGAATGTGTACTTCTTAGGTTGATGAATTTCACTATCCTAGCAGCTCAAACGATGATGCCAAAGTGACTTGATGTGTATAGAATTCAAAGCTATATATATATATTTGTTAATTGATACTCGTAAAACTTTTTCGTCCATTTACTGGTGCCTATTTACTTTTTTTTACTCATTTACTGTCATTTAATGTGGCATTATCATGCTTATACAAATAGCGAGATTTTTGTAAGAATTTTACATGGCACTTTTGTTTTTAATTACATTGCATCGTTTCAGAAATTATCTTTTAATTTAAAATTGACAATTCTAAATTTCCTATTATCCTTCTAAACTATAACTCTAAACTCTATTTAAACTTTGCTGAAATTCTGTATTTTTATTCAAGTATAATTTAAAGTTAGAATAGTGTTTCCTTAATAGTATGTTTTTACTATATCTTCCTATATCTTAATCAATTTCGTAATATAATGAAAATGTAGTAGAATTGGTATATATAAAATAGGGAATCTGTCTGTCCCTACAATATTAAAAACAATGAGATGGATATTACTATTCTCTCTTAAGAAAGTTTTTATATTCCATGCTTTGATTATTTTTATTTCTAATAATGTTCTTTTAATAAATGAACTGTTCAAAAAAATTATAAACTTTATAGATAGTTATTGAGACATCACAGTATGTTTACTCCAACCTAATTTATTTTATGTTAATAATAATATTTTTTCTCATAATAATGATGTAACTAATTAATTCTTTCAACAAAATTTAAAATTTTTTAAACAGTGTAGAAAGTTACTACAATATGTTTTCTTCAACAAAATTTTCAATTAAGTTGTAAGAAATAATTAAATTTTAATTAAAATTATAGTAAATGTTAGTTATAAATTTTAAATTAAGAAATAATTACATTTTTAAACCTTGTAGTAATAATCAAGTTAATTATATCCTCTTCTAAAAGCTTTAAGTAGTTTTAACATAGTAATAAGTTATGAAGAGCAACCACAATATGTTTTTGTCAACACTAAAAAAAATTCTCTCTTTCTCACTGATAAGCAATTATCAAATGTGCTTTAACTGAGAAAATTAATTTATAAATTTTACCAATTAAGAACGTATGGTTGAATTTATATTTTGTCTGGCTTTTAGTATTTCTGAATTGTTTTAAAATGCTTTCTCTCTGAGAAAGCATTTTAAGATATATTTCTTTCGAAAGAAATATATCTACTGAAGATATATTTCTTTCGAAATGGTCTTTTTGAAGCAGATGTGTACGAGATACTTCTCAAAGATTTTTAATTCTCAAAACCATCTATCTAATTTTCAATGAACTTAAATCCGAAATATATCTTTTTTTTAAGCTCATTCTATAATTTTTTCTGTCTAAAAATAAACTCTTGTTGGTCTTTAGTTTAGTAGCTAATAAAATATTCTTGTATGTAAAGGGGACATTAATCTCTTTTTAAAAGCTGGTTTAAGACATTTTTTTTCTGTCTTTTGATTAGAAAAGAAAACTTTGATCTTTAGTTTTATGGTTAAAAATATTTTCCTGTTTAAAGTCGGAGCTTAAAAAAAACTATTATAAGAATTTCATATTATCGAATTATATTATTCCATATTATCCATTAATTCCATTTATCTTCTATATTTTAATGAAGTAATTAACCAAATTATGTTGCTTGTTGGTGTTATTGCAGCAAAGTAAGTTTTTTCCTGCAGTTTTAGTATTATTCATCTCATACATAAAGTAACCTACCAATACTTCTATTTTACCCGAAGTTTTTCCGAAAATGTCTCTGGAAAAAAAAAATATTTTTAAGTATAATTGTAGATTAATGCATGAAAGTACAAATTGTGCAACTAGCAAAGACAAGGGATCTTTTCATTACTATACCAAATACCATTATCTGTCAATATACAAATGAAAATACCTACAAAAATACTTTTAAACCTGCAGAGTTTTCGCAAGTATGCACTAAAGAGCCTCGGTGCTTATAAGTGCTGATACTCTTCAGTGCTTATTTGTATGAAGAAATAACCAGATTTAATTATTGACAAGATATGTAAAAGCTTATCTTAATTACACTTTGGTGCTATCCTAAACTTACACTAAATCGTTACCCAGTAGTTTTCAAATTAAAATGAGAAAATTCTTTTTAATATATATCCCAGATCAATAAAGTTGCATGAAATACTTCGAGTGAAATTGATTATTAACAAAATTATACCAATTATTTGATAATTATTAAAAATCATTGCTTATTATATTTACAGTGAAAAGAAAATATTTACTGTTATTTCTTGAATCATAGTATGATATGTAAGAAACAAAATTGCTATTTTGTATCAGTGTTGGCAAAAATCATTTTTTAAAAAAAATTAGATTTTTTCTCATTTAAATTAAAAACATTCTTTAAATTTTTTTTTTCTTTTTACATATATCAATCAAAACTCAGATAAAATTTATCAATAATGCTTAATATTATTTGAAAACAATATTTCATCTAAAATACTTAGTATTAACTAAAATAGTTAAAAGGATTATATAATTATTACAAACTAATCACTGAAAAATAAAATCATAACTATTTCTTTCTAGTCAAACTTTAATGTATTCCTAAGACTGAGACCAAATTTGTCAATTAGATAGAATAAATTAATTTAGGTCAAGAAACATTGAAAAAAAATCAATTGTTCTAAATTATACTTGGCAAACCAAATCTTTCTTCATTTCTTATATTCACAAACGACGTATAATTTATAAAGGTATTTTTATTTAAATAAACATAAAACTAAATTGGTATCATGTTACCTCCTCATTATTTTTTGTATTTTTTTTATATATACAGGGTGATTCTAAAAAGATGGGCAAAATTTAAGGAAGTGATAGTACACACCCAAGCAAACAATTTTTATCAAAGAATGCATGGTCGAAAACAAAACGCAAAGGNTTTTAGTAATTTCTGAAAATTATGAACCCCCCCCCCCTTGAAAAAGTTCTGCGTACGCCACTGGACGGCTGAATAACATCTATGAAATTTTACATTTGTGCAAATAAACGCTGGTCAGAAAAAGGAAATATGAGAATGTTACTCACCCCGATGAACATCAAGTTGACATCTTTATGTTGTTGTCGAGGTAGGACAATAAAAGGAAAATATCAAACAAAACAA